TTTGAATAACGTCTCATGTATTATGAATTTAATCAAAATAAAACTCAATTTATTTACTATTTGTTCAAGCCCAAAAAAAACAAACAATAATTTTCACCTAAAAAAATCTAAACTTTCAATAAAAAACGTTTGTGTGTTAAGCTATTTTTGTAAATAAAAATCTATTTTAAACACTCATAGAAAAGTGTTTTTTATTTACATTTCTTTCATATCATGCAGCATGTCACCAAACCATTAATAAACCAATATTATTCAACCAAATCCCCTACCCACCATTTAAACTCTTACACACAACCGTGCCGCTATTAAGAAATAGAAAAAAAACAAAAGAAGGTCATTCTGGTCGTCTTATGCATGTCATACAGTCGTTCGTCCATCGTTGTATATTCTTTATGCATAATTAATGTTAGAATTTTATTATTAGAAAAAGGTGCTAAAATCACACAAACGTTTATTATTTTTTATTAATTTTTTTTCTATTTCAACTTACACTTGACCTATACTTTGTAGAAACTACTATAAAATGTAAAATAGCAAGAAATACTAAAATAAAACTTATAACAACAACAACAACTAATGAGAAAATAATTGTCTTTTAGTCATTTGTTTGAAAAAAAAATATTAGATCACATGAGGAAAATATTTAATAGATAAAAAAAACTAATAAATACAATTTACAATTAAGTGGACTGAATGGCAAATGTAGGAAAATAAAAACACCATAAAATGTAACGATTAACAAATAGATCTTTATAATTACCCCGTGTGACAGCCAAAAATGACTCGACATTTGATCTAGTGCGGTTTGATGTAGTTTGATTACAAGGTTTACATGGACGGACAGACGAACGGACGGACAGACGAACGGACGGACACACGAACGGACGGACAGACGGACAGACGGACGGACAGACGGACGGACATAGCTAAATCGACTCAGAAAATGATTCTAAGCCGATTGGTATACTTTAAGGTAGGACCAATATTATTGTGGGTTACAAACATCAGCACAAACTCAATATACCCTCCCCACTAAAGTGGTGTAGGGTATAAAAATCAAATCCAGAAAAGTCCCCTTTTATAGATCAATCAGGGTGTTGCGTGTATGCATTCAAACCAAAACAAAAATGTACCAAAAATTCTTTCCTACAGATTTGCATTAATTTAGGTCTCTTAATATTTACTTTTATGTTTCAATTGTTCAATATTATAGAAAATGCAAAAAGTACCTTTTATAGACATTTTAAAAAGTATGTATCTTTAGAACAACGAAATAGTACCAAAAAAATCCCCTATTTTGTAGTTTCTCACTAAATCAGGGCTCTACATGCTTAATTTCATGTTTCTAGGTTCAATATTATAGAAAATTCAAAAAGTACATTTTGAAGAACAAAAAAGTACCAAAAAGCCCCTTTTTATAGGTTCTCACTTTCTCCGGGCTCTACATGCTCAATTTCATGATTCTAGCTACAATATTATAGAAAATTCAAAAAATAACTTTTGAAGAACGAAAACGTACCAAAAAGTCCCTTTTTGTAGGTTCTCATTAATTCCGGACTCTACATGCTTAATTTCATGATTCTAGCTTCAATATTATAGAAAAATCAAAAATGACCCATTAAAGAACTAAAAAGTACCAAAAATAGTCCAAATAACAACCATTTTTAATTTAAAATTTAAATTGTTTTCCATCCCCGCTTAATTTCCAACACACAATTTTCCATCCCTGATTTTGGCATTAACAAGACATGTAACTTGTTGAATAACATTTGCTATATTAAGCTGTATGTTAAGAGCCCTTTCAAAGGGCTTCTCGTCCTGCTCTCGTTAGGTTCACCCCATACGATCTTTGGATTTGACTCCTCCGGGAAGCCTGAAGTGGCTATTGATGCAGTGGGTACTATGGATGGCACTGCGGTGTCCTTATCAGGCCTAGGAATATCAGTCGTTTAAACTGGCACCATCCCGATTTTGGAAAGCTCCACTGTTCTGTCTTCTGGCGAGTGAGTGATTTCCTCCTCACTTTTAGGATTTGATTCCTCATTGTTACCAGTATTGTGTCCTTGTCGGAGCCAGTATGTGACATAGAGAGGACAGTGAAATTCTGGAGCACTTTCTTTGCCATTGTCAGGCTTTCACCGAAATTATATCCAAATATCTTGGAAGTGATATTATTCAGCATATCTCAAGAAAACTGATTGGAAAATTCTTAGGAACTACGTCCAGGAAACTGAGTAAACTGAGAAAAGAGTTGCTACTAGTACCTCTAGTCTGTTGGTACTATAAACTGGTGATGATCAAATGTATTCTCGGTCTATCCTTGACATAGGGTGGAAACAGAGAAACACATAATCTGGTGCACGTGGTGGCTGTGGTTTAAATCCAAATTCGCGGGAAGAGAATGTCGGTTAAAAGACTGAAGCACGGTAAACCCTATAAGTGGGGATAAGTTTGGTGTTGTTGCCGAAGTTAACAGACACCCCACAGAGGAGTTACTGTAGGACTAAGCGTTGGAAATGAGTTGGTGTTAAATGTATATGATACAGGATGAATGTAGAGGTATACGGAACTTACCCCATATACGTAGAGTGTGTGTGTCGGATGTTGTTTTCTATGAGTGTGTCGAATAAATGAGAAGTGTACTGGGTTGAATGGTGATGAATGGTTATAAAAGTGATACCATTGATGTTTCCTTCCTTGTCCAAGTATGTACAGGGTTTACTCTGTTCATACCAGATTTAATACAGTGTGTTCTCTGTAAGTAAGAACAAAATCCTCGGCTTATTTAATGAATTCGTGTTTCGATCTCGAAAGTTAACCAACGGGACAGCAATGGTCAGAGATTAGGTAGCTCGAGTACTTGATCAAAATTGCCACCTGCTTGTAAGATACATAATGGGGCGGTGGTGAATCGTCTAGTCAGCTCAGCCAGCGGTTGAAAAAGTACTACCGTGAAATAAGGCTGACACGGCAGGTGTTTGAGATAATTCCGCATACACGTGTAAGAGTACTCCTCAAAGGACTAGGACTGGTCCAAAATTAATCCAAATATATGGAAAAAAACATACTCCATTTGACATTGTGATGTCCTAGGTAATGACCACGTAATCCATCTATGCATTACATCGGAGTAATCCCAAAACTACTGTCTTGCTAAAATTATGGGAGTACATGATCCGCAACATGGTCCCATGTACTTTAGGCTATGGACCATGTTGTTTTAAAAAAGAAATAAACATGATCCATGCCTGCATTACATAGGACTACGAAACGGATCATGTACTCCAATAATACTTACGGGGGAGTAATTTTTGGACCTGTTTTTTTTTAACAAAAATAAACATGACATAAACATGACATATAAACATGTCCTAAGTAAGAACCACGTAATCCATTCATGCATTACATCGGAATAATCCCAAAACTACTCCCTTGCTAAAATTATGTGAGTACATGATCCGCAATATAGTCCCATGTAATGCAGGCTATGGACGATGTTGTTTTCATAGGACTACGAAACGGATCATGTACTCCAACAATGTTTACAGGGGAGTAGTTTTTAGATAACCTAAATGGATCATGTACCCCAATAATTTTTACAGGGTTTTTGCTCATATCTCCGTTATTTTTGGACCGATTTTGCTTTGTAGTTTTTGGTCCCGAAGATATATGGGGTCTTCAGAAAATTGATTTTAAGAAACACAGACGGACACAGCTTAATCGACTCCGCTATCTATAAAACTAGAAATATCCATACATAAATATATACAGAGGGAAAAAGAAATATACATGCCTGGTATCAAATTGACACTAAACTGTTTATAATTTTTCAATAACATCCGTTGTCAAAGTATATACATACATACGTACGACAACACTATGTAATGTTGACAACATTGCAACAATTCGTTGTCGAAATCTAAATTTTTTACACATCCGTTGTCTAAATGTTAACAAACGTGGTAAGTTCACTATTGACAAACAATCCGCTGCCAATAGTGAGCTTACCACGTTTGTTAAAATTTAGATTTCGTCAACGAATTGTTGCAATGTTGACAACGTTGCGACATAGTGTTGTCGTACGTATGTATATACTTTGACAACGGATGTTATTAAAAGATTATAAATTCTTTGGTGTCAATTTGGTACCAGGTGGGTATATTTCTTTTTCTTTTTATAAGGTCGGAAAATTATATTATAGAAATTACAAACGGAAAATACTAGAAGAAGGAAAATAAGGACTTCTTGTAGTTGAACATATTTGTAAATTAAATAAGAATTAAATAAGTGTTTCGAAAATGTTTTCTTTCATCAATATATATTTATAATTTTCAATACCAAATCTCTAGTTAAAATTTATTCAGAAATTCACTTTTGCATGCTCATAGAACACCCCATATACATTACATACATTTACATTTATATGTTATATCTTATACTTCAAAGCAAATGTTGTCCTTAACGAATGCATTCCTTTAAATGTTTTGTTAACATAGTTCTATATAGCAAAGTACTATTTCAAACACTTTCATGTCATTTAAGCAGCTTTTCTATTAGACTATTAGAAAACAAATCTACTTTTATATAAGACCTATTGCTTAGCTAAACTTAGAATGTTTTTAGTATTTATACAATATTTTAAATAATTTACAAAAAACAATTAAAAAAATTGTACTGGTAAAAGAAAATTTAAATAAATAAGAAACTTTGCTTAACCAAACCCTTTTGGAAGCTAAATCCTTTTTTTTAAATTTAATACTCTGTTCTATTCCCTTATTTAAAAGAGTTGTTGTTCTATCTTTTGATTTATTATTGTTTTTTTTTACAACAAAAACTGCGCTTTTTATAAGTATTGTTAGAAATTTGCTGGCATCTTTTAATTGTTGAATACAGAAATAACAAATAAATAAAAAAAAACAAAACACCAACTACTAAGACATTTTATTTTTTTTTTGCAAATTAATGTCAAATAAAAATCTTTAATTAATTGAAATTTTTAGGCCACAAAAGTCAAGGATAATTTTGCCGATCAAACTTTTCGTTATCCGGTCATGTTGCTCGGCAAAAATAAGGATCTTACCATAGCGGCAACAGGGAATTCTAGAAAAAGATTTTCCAAATATGATAAAGTAAATATTTTAACAACAAAAAAAACCAAAAAAAATTAATAATGTTTTTTTTTAATTTATATTTATAAGATTAAAAAAACAACACATTTTTTATGTTTTTCTAAATAGCAATAACATTTTATACTAAAACATCACCTTTTAATATACAAAATTAAATGTGTTTTTAATAAATTTATTTATTTATATTTATTTCTTTAATTATTACTGAAATATTGAATGTTGTTATTATTAAATAAATGTTTTATTTATTAAAAAATTTACTATATTACTTATTTATATATAATCCTATTGCATTTTTGTTGAAAATAATTCAAGTTGTATATAATATTAGGGCTACTCTCAGGCTACGCCATATGTCATAAATTGTTTGTTGTATAATAAAAACTATAAGTGCCAAATTACACAGGCCAACAAATTTTTAACCCAGCGGCCAAAGAGTCTTTATCTTAGGAATCAAGCTACGCTCAAATATGGTATTTTTTCCAAAATTTACTGCATGTTATCTTAAAACCCTGTTGTGATAAAGAAATTCTAATGTCGTATTCAGATTCAGCGCACCTTTGTTCTTTATAAAAGTTACTTTCAAATTTGGTCTCAGTTATCAATTTAAATATCAGTGGTTACATATTGTTTACAATGATGGATTTCGGCACCCAATATGTCAGATAATTTTGAATCCAATAATCTTCGACTGCTTGTAACTAGTCCGCAGTTCTTTATTAACAATAAGCAAATACCATTGACTTTTTAAAATCGGTCCAAAATCCATAAAGCTCATAAATAACTGGTAATAAATACACCGTTCACACGAAGCAATTATTCGTCATTCACGCTCTCATTCCTCATAAAACCCCCAATTACGCACTGTATTACATGATTCGTAATACAAAATTTCACCTGCGAATTTTTCTTTTATCTTGGACCTGAACTCAGGGGATGGCCCCTACTCATGCAGTGCATTGTGCTGGAACTAGAAAAATAGTTTGTGGGAGGGAGGATACAGGGAGTAGTATTCGTAGACATTTAATTTAAACCTTTTCACATCGAAAGTGGCAAAAAATACTTCTGCAGGAATTTTGTTCCACATACGAACTTTACGGCTGAAGAATGAATTTTCTCTGTAATGTGTTGTGCGGTCCATTGGCCAATCGACCACAAATGGGTGTGTTCTTGATGAGAGTCGTGTGTTGAGTAAACAAGTTCCCTAATTTCAGAGGAACACATTCCATTATAGTATCGAACAATGAAATACACCCCACGTTTGCGACGGTGCTCCAGTGAATCAATAGATTTAGATACCCTAGCCTTCACCGAATAGTATGTACCTTCGCCCTCTCCTGTACGCGATCGAGTCCAAAATAGACTTCGAAGCACCATACATAAGAGTTGTATGTATTCCATTTTCGGTCGGATATTTGTCATAATCAGCTGTTTGTTTTCAACGCTTATCCTATAAGACCCCCTTTTTGAAAATACACTTATAGTGCATGGATCGATATACTCTAACTGATTCTCCAGAATTTTGTTGCTAATCAATATTATTATTAAAAAAACCAGCATAAACCTGGTTAATAATTGGGATTATGGATCGACCTCTATATATTTTAAAAGAGAGATTAATGTCATAAATAAACTCTTTTTTGTCGAATTGTATTATAATACTAAAATGTTAGCTAGGGTTAATTATGAACCGAGCCAAATAGAATTTTGAAGAAGACTTTTTGATCCTATAAAACTGGATTATGTCGAATTTTATCCCTATGCATGCTTTTGTAAGGAAGTTATTTCTGAAATGCGCCTAATATAAGGACTTGCATCCAATATGAACCGATTTTTATATCGTTTTCTTACAGGGATTTAGGTTTCTATATAACTTGCCCACATCGAATTTCATTGTTAAGCCAGTTAAAAGATTTAAAGTAATTTTCTAAAGGAGATCTTCTAAGGGGAGTCAAGGGGAGATACATAAAATTAACTACATAGTGCCAAACTTCAGTTCACTTGCTATACCACTTTTCTGGGGGCTACTTATATCGCGGCTATACGCAAATGTAGAACGATATTGTCCACTTGCAATACCAAACAAACCTTATCTATAGGGAATACAGCCCACTACTAGATCCTACCGTGTAGTCCCTATCGTACTTTCAACAGACAGACATTCGGACGGACATGGCTCTATCGCCTTAGAACTTTATAAGGGCCCAGAAGTATATTACTTGTGGATATATGAACGATATTGTGTTACAATGTGTTACAAACGGAATGAAAAAATCACACTTCTTTTTAGGTCCACTTTCTGTTTAACCGATATACATTGTGCAATCGTTCAAAAGAATTACTGGCGTTCAAAATATAACTGAGTCTTTTTTAAAATTAAAAATCAGAATCAGTTTGTTTAATATGAACCTAAATACTTTCACTAAATTTTGTGTGTATCGGTCCATATTTAAAGTCCAAATCGATTTTAAAATTAATGGTTGATAGATAACGTCTGATGAGTAAAACAAAAAAAGATAAATCCAATGAATCTTTAGAAGCTTTTTGTAAACTGTATCAAATATCTCAACATACAATTTATGACATTTACTTATGATCCTGAGATTTGTCCTTTAATCAAAATGTGAATGCAATCTATTTCAATATAAATTAATACTTAATTCTTATTTTTTATCATTATTATAGTACATTAATGAAACTCATTTACCTCTGATACCGGATGAAGCCATACAGTCTTTATCGGAAAGTGATATGCTCAAGGTAGAAAAACGTATGGAAAGAAGACGAAAACTTTTATCGGAGAAATGTACGGAATTGGGTCTAGATGTAGTTGGTAAGTTAAAGTTAGGCAAATGAACAAAATTTTAAAAATTACTTTAACGAGTTCAATTCGAAACTAAATTAAAATCGGACAGAACCCTGTTTATTCTATTACTTAAGTATTTGTCACTTATTATATGACTATATCACATAAGTGAGAAAACAAATGATCTTCGATATGCTGCCCTACATATAGGATATTAAGTTGGAGCTTATTATGATATTAATATCGACTCTACAGGGTCCAATTCTAAACTTTTATGGAATTCCATTTCATATGCATTTTACATTATGTTTTCTAAATATGACTATTTCCGAAAGTGTATCCACAGTTAAATAATTCCTTTTTTATAGCGAAACACAATTACTACTGCATACGTAATTAACCCTAAATCAAAAGAATAATAATCTCTAATTAATTTACATGCATATTAAAATATGTATCTACAACATATACCGGCGGATAGAGAAACAGATAAAAAAATCACCACTACACACACACTATTGGCATTTTTTCATTGAAATTGCACTGAAAAAAATATTTGGTTATTTTTAATTTTGAAGATTAAATTGCATTACTGTAAAATGCGAATATTTATAAACAAAGTGTAAACAATGTACTTAAGAATGATAATTTCTTCACATAGAAACAACATTTCTAATTAAAATGTACAAGAAAAGTATGAAACAATATTAACTTATTTACTTTCATTGTTATGCATTCTAGAAAATTATTTAGAGTGTACGTTGTTTTTGTAAATTATGCTCTTGCTTTTGCAAGTTGTTTTTGTTTTTTTCAAGTTGTGTTTGCAATTTCTTTAACAAAGCGACATCAACCTGCTTTGTTGAATGCTGTCAAGCAACTAAATAAAATATTTGTATTTTTGATGCTCTTGTTTAGAGGTTCGTATGCGATCGTGTTGTGTACATGTAATTTGCCGAAAATCTTCGTTATCAGAACAATACTAGCGCCGACGTCTGATCTACAACTATAAGCTTCTCTAATAATGCCATTTTTATTAAAAATAAATGAACAAAAACTGTTTTTCAATAACATGAATTAAAGTAAAAAAACATAATAGAAAAAAAGACATTTAATACCCACCAATGCCAATCCTTCTTTTATGCTCTTGTCACGAACATCATAATCCGCTTTTTATAATCACAAATAAACCCCTAAAAACAAACAGACCAATATTTAAACACTCACACACCCAACAACATTTCAAACTTTAACAAGTGTATCCCCCTTTTAAAAGTAAATATTGTCCCGTTAAATCAACACCGGATGTTTTAAATAGCGGCCTACTATTTCCTATATGTATGACATACCATAACTATTTACAGCGGCAACAAGCAACCACATACATATGACCCACTTTTATTTTAACATTTTAATACTGTCAAAAGATATCTAGAGAGAAAAGGGAAATTAAAGAGAAACTCATCTGAAAATAATATTGAAATAACTTTCGTTTATTCTTTATTTATTCTTTTTGTTTTTTGCATTTATTTGCAGGCACCGATTCATGGCATAAGCCAAATCCTTGGGAATTTTTAGTCAATAAAAAACATCATATCATATGGTAAGTTTAATTAATGCATTATTTATAAATATATTAGGGTGACTTCAGAAAAAAGTACTGCTTCATGAAAACGATTATAAACTTTTCACTAGCCTATCGACTATAGACCTCTGTGTAGTCTCTCGACTGTAGACGTTTATAGAACAGCCTATAGTCTCGACCGTAAGCTGTTCTATAGTCTCGACTGTAGACTGTTCTACAGTCTCGACTATAGACTGTTCTATGGTCTCGACTATACACTGTTCTATAGTCTCGACTATAGACTTTTCAATAGTCTCGACTATAGACTGTTCTATAGTCTCGACTATAGACTGTTCTATAGTCTCGACTATAGACTGTTCTATAGTCTCGACTATAGACTGTTCTATAGTCTCGACTATAGACTGTTCTATAGTCTCGACTATAGACTGTTCTATAGTCTCGACTATAGACTGTTCTATAGTCTCGACTGTAGACTGTTCTACAGTCTCGACTATAGACTGTTCTATGGTCTCGACTATACACTGTTCTATAGTCTCGACTATAGACTTTTCAATAGTCTCGACTATAGACTGTTCTATAGTCTCGACTATAGACTGTTCTATAGTCTCGACTGTAGACTGTTCTATAGTCTCGACTATAGACTGTTCTATAGTCTCGACTATAGACTTTTCAATAGTCTCGACTATAGACTGTTCTATAGTCTCGATTATAGACTGTTCTATAGTCTCGACTGTAGACTGTTCTATAGTCGCGACTGTAGACTGTTCTATAGTCTCGACTGTAGACTGTTCTATAGTCTCGACTATAGACTGTTCTATAGTCTCGACTATAGACTGTTCTGTAGTCTCGACTATAGACCGTTCTATAGTCTCGACTAAAGACTGTTCTATAGTCTCGACTAAAGACTGTTCTATAGTCTCGACTATAGACTGTTCTATAGTCTCGACTATAGACTGTTCTATAGTCTCGACTATAGACTGTTCTATAGTCTCGACTATAGACTGTTCTATAGTCTTGACTATAGACTGTTCTATAGTCTCGACTATAGACTGTTCTATAGTCTCGACTATAGACTGTTCTATAGTCTCGACTATAGACTGTTCTATAGTTTCGACTACAGACTGTTATATAGTCTCGACTATAGACTGCTATATAGTCTCGACTATAGACTGTTATATAGTCTCGACTATAGATTGTTCTATAGTCTCGACTATAGACTGTTCAATACTCTCGACTATAGACTGTTCAATACTCTCGACTATAGACTGTTCAATAGTCTCGAATATAGACTGTTCTATAGTCTCGACTATAGACTGATCTATAGTCTCGACAATAGACTGTTCTATAGTCTCGACTGTAGACTGTTCTTTAGTTTCGACTATAGACTTTTCTATAGTTTCGACCATAAACTGTTCTATACTCTCCAATATAGATTGTTCTATAGTCTCGACTATAGACTGTTCTATAGTCTCGACTATAGACTGTTCTATAGTCTCGACTATAGACTGTTCTCTAGTCTCCACTATAGAAGTATCTACAGTCCAGACTATAGACTGTTCTATAGTCTCGACTATAGACTGTTCTATAGTCTCGACTATAGACTGTTCTATAGTCTCGATTATAGACTGTTCTATAGTCTCGACTGTAGACTGTTCTATAGTCTCGATTATAGACTGTTCTATAGTCTCGACTATAGACTGTTCTATAGTCTCGACTAGAGACTGTTATATAGTCTCGACTATAGACTGTTATATAGTCTCGACTATAGACTGTTCTATAATCCCGATTATAGACTGTTCTATAGTCTCGACTATAGACTGATCAATAGTCTCGACTATAGGCTGTTCTATAATCTCGACTATAGACAGTTATATAGTCTCGACTATACACTGTTGTATAGTCTCGACTATAGACTGTTATATAGTCTCGACTATAGACTGTTCTATAGATTCGACTATAGACTATAGATTTGACTATAGACTGTTCTATAGTCTCGACTATATACTGTTGTATAGTCTCACCTATAGACTGTTCTATAGGTGAGACTGTTCCATAGTCTCGACTATAGACTGTTCCGTAGTCTCAACTATGCGACTGTAGACTGTTCTATAGTCTCGACTATAGACTGTTCTCTAGTCTCCACTATAGAAGTATCTACAGTCCAGACTATAGACTGTTCTATAGTCTCGACTATAGACTGTTCTATAGTCTCGACTATAGACTGTTCTATAGTCTCGATTATAGACTGTTCTATAGTCTCGACTGTAGACTGTTCTATAGTCTCGATTATAGACTGTTCTATAGTCTCGACTATAGACTGTTCTATAGTCTCGACTAGAGACTGTTCTATAGTCTCGACTATAGACTGTTCTATAGTCTCGACTATAGACTGTTCTATAGTCTCGACTATAGACTGTTCTATAGTCTCGACTATAGACTGTTCTATAGTCTCGACTACAGACTGTTCTATAGTCTCGACTATAAACTGTTCTATAGTCTCGACTATAGACTGCGCTATAGTCTCGACTATAGACTGCGCTATAGTCTCGACTATAGACTGCGCTATAGTCTCGACTATAGACTGTTCTATAACCTCGACTTTAGACTCGATTATGTTCTATGGATTAAATATAGACAATTCTAATGTTAGGATCGGCTCAATTATAGACCTTTTTGTAGTCAACTATTGACAGCCTTATATAAATTGTAGTCTCGACTGTAGTTAGTTCTAAAGTCTCTTACACATACAATTTACATAATTTTCGAAAATAAATATTTTGGGGCTAGATCCTATCGGATAGCGAAAAAAAATATGAACATTGAGTAATAGCGATGTAGGTTTTGGGTCAATTATAAACTGTATTCTTCAAATTGGTTTGCAAAAGTGAGTGTGGGACCAATAATTGTTGGGTGTTACAAACAATTCACAAAAAAATTTCTGCGCCCAACGTTTCCAACAACTATTGTTTATTTTTTGTAATCCGTATAGGGATAACAATTTGTAAATAAAAATTCGACAGAGATTTTGCCCAACCCTTTATGAATCCTTCGTCATATGTAAACAACTAGTAGTACATAAAATCTTTTTTAACTTTTATTTTTTATGTCCTTACAGGTGCAATGTATTTAAAGCTGCCTCTTCATCATGGATGTTTAATTTTAATGTTTTAGCTGGCTATTCAGCGGATTTTTTGCACAAAACAAAAGAAATTTTATTACATTTAGCACGCGAACGGTATCCTCGTGTTACGTTAGAAGAGGTAAATAATAAACTATAACTGTAATATATAGAATTTAAAGGAATTAATTCATAAATATATTGATTCTATTCTTTTTCCTTTTTATCTTTACAGCTTCATACAGCTCAAAATAATTCTATAACATTTTTAATTGCACGCCATCCATTCGAAAGACTGTTAAGTGCTTATCGCGATAAATTCGTTTATGCGATACCCCATTCGTTTCACGATAAACTGGGGAGAAAAATAGTGCGTACTTATCGAAAAAAGGTGGGTTTCTTATATCGTTTTATCTGAACGTTTTTTTGTAAATTTCTTTATTTATTTCCAGAGCCAACAATTAAAACCTCCCAAATATCCAACATTTTCGGAATTTGTACGCTGGCTGTTGGATCAAATCAAACATGGCAATCATTTGGATATGCATTTTGTGGCCTCAACACAATTCTGTACGCCGTGTTTGATAAATTTCGATATAATTTTAAAATTTGAAACTCTTGAGGAGGATCAATTGTATCTCATTGAAAAGACTGGCTTAAAACGTATTATTGCTCCCGAGTGGCGAAATATGGGCAAGGGCAAGAATACGCTGGAATTGCTGCAACAGTTCTATTCGAAATTATCGAGAAATGAATTGGATGGATTGTATGATTATTATAGGTAAGTTTTTGAAAATAACTGTATCGAATATCGACTTTAGGCAGTTCTATAGTCTCGACATTATAGTCTCAACTACAACAAGTTCTATAGTCCAGACTATGTTCTCTAGTGTGGACTATAGTCTGGACTATAGACAGTTCTATAGTCTGGATTATAGACAGTTCTATAGTCTGGATTATAGACAGTTCTATAGTCTGGATTATAGACAGTTCTATAGTCTAGACTATAGACAGTTCTATAGTCTGGATTATAAACAGTTCTATAGTCTGGATTATAGACAGTTCTATAGTCTGGATTATAGACAGTTCTATAGTCTGGACTATAGACAGTTCTATAGTCTGGACTATAGTCAGTTCTATAGTCTGCACTATAGACAGTTCTATAGTCTGGACTATAGACAGTTCTATAGTCTGGACTATAGACAGTTCTATTGTCTGGACTATAGACAGTTCTATAGTCTGGACTATAGACAGTTCTATAGTCTGGACTATAGACAGTTCTATAGTCTGGACTATAGACAGTTCTATAGTCTGGACTATAGACAGTTCTATAGTCTGGACTATAGACAGTTCTATAGTCTGGACTATAGACAGTTCTATAGTCTGGACTATAGACAGTTCTATAGTCTGGACTATAGACAGTTCTATAGTCTGGACTATAGACAGTTCTATAGTCTGGACTATAGACAGTTCTATAGTCTGGACTATAGACGGATCTATAGTCTGGACTATAGACAGTTCTATAGTCTGGATTATAGACAGTTCTATCGTCTGGATTATAGACAGTTCTATAGTCTGGACTATAGACAATTCTATAGTCTGGACTCTAGGCAGTTCCATAGTCTGGACTAAGACTGGACTATAGACAGTTCTAAAGTCTGGACTATAGACAGTTCTATAGTCTGGACTATAGACAGTTCTATAGTCTGGACTATAGACAGTTGTATAGTCCAGACTATAGACAGTTCTATAGTCTGGACTATAGACAATTCTATAGTCTGGACTCTAGGCAGTTCCATAGTCTGGACTAAGACTGGACTATAGACAGTTCTATAGTTTGGACTAGAGACAGTTCTATAGTCTGGACTATAGACAGTTCTATAGTCTGGACTATAGACAGTTCTATAGTCTGGACTTTAGACAGTTGACAATTCTATAGTCTGGACTATAGACAGTTCTATAGTCTGGACTATAGACAGTTGTATAGTCTGGACTATAGACAGTTCTATAGTCTGAACTATAGACAGTTCTATAGTCTGGAAAATATAGACAGTTCTATAGTCTGGACTATAGACAGTTCTATAGTCTGGACTATAGATAGTTCTATAGTCTGTACTATAGACAGTCCTATAGTCTGGACTATAGACAGTTCTACAGTCTGGACTATAGACAGTCCTATAGTCTGGACTATAGACAGTTCTATGGTCTAGACTATAGACAATTCTATAGTCTGGATTATAGACAGTTCTGTAGTCTGGACTATAGACAGTTCTATAGTCTGTACTATAGACAGTTTTATAGTCTGGACTATAGACAGTTATATTATCTGGACTATAGACAGTCCTCTAGTCTGGACTATAGACTGTTCAATAGTTATAAATGTCGTCTTTTATAAACAATCCTTTTTAACTTTTTAAATTATTCCATTATTTCTAGATATGATTTTGAATTATTCAACTATAGTGCAACTTCGTATTTTAATATTGCGAAAGCTAAAGAACTAGATATACCCGAAGAGACAGCAGCACTATTAGGAAAGCCGCATGCATAAATTTTACTACCTGCTATACACAGCATTTACGTTAAGAAATGACACCAAAAAAAAAAGCTTCAACAAAAAAAGATAGATTTAACAAATCAACACGTCCCAGATACTTGTACATCATTACGGATAAAAGTACGATCGCTTACATACATACATAATAATTCATCCATAAAAGCACAGGTTGTTCTCTAACTTACTATTTTTGATGCAGAGTTGGAAACACAGAAAACGCTTAAGAATACAATTGTAGTTTTGAATTCATTTCCCCATGAATTTAGTGCGTTTATTGCAATTTGCAAAATGTTAAGAATAAAAAAAGTTAGAATCCATTCGAATTGAAATTCGAAGATGAAAAAAAAAGACAACTAATTTGTACAATAATTTTAATATGCGTCAATAATTGAAACATTGTAGAAAACTAGTATTAAGTAAAATTTATTATAAATATCACACGCATAGCGCTTTTTACTTTAAATTTATAATAATGAGACCCAAGACATGACACTGACGGACTGAAATGACAACAGACAAATAAACAAATTAAAATAATTTTAATTATAAAAATATAAAACAAAAATAACAAGCAAGCAACCAAAAAAAACGAAACCAAAACAATGAACTCTAATATAATTAAAATTTAATTAAATAAATTGATAAATTATTGAGCGTTTTTAAGTAAGAATTGTATTAGAATTAAAAGAAAGAAAGAATTTTGAGAGACTCACTGTTTGCTTGAATTAAACATCATTCATACAAATTTATTAAACAAAATTTTTATAATTTGTTTTCTATTTATAAACCTTTGATAAGTGTTTATTAAGAAAACTTTTAGTTTGCTCTAAGAGTTCTAGTTTTCGTTTTAAGAAATGCAAAACTTTTAAAGTAAACTAATAGTTTTTGTTCAAAAATGTTTCTACACATTATAGCTTATTCATGTAACAAATCGTGTTAGCTCCAAAGAAATCTGCTGTTTTATTTTGCATTACTTACGTAGTCACGTGTTTCTCACCCTATGGCCTTCATTTTCTTTGTAACTAATACTATATCGTGTTAATCTTCATAAATTTGATGCATTTCTAAACAAATCGCTCGCTATTTTTTCAATTGTAAATTAAAAGTTTGTTAAAGTAATTTTAAGTAGTTGCCACATTTTTTACTTTTACATTAACAAATACATACAAACATACATACTTAGTGAATTGTTCTTTATATAAAAAAAAACTTATTTTTAGTATTTATTCAAAAATTAGTTACATCCATAAAAACATAAATATTTTGTTAAGTATTGAATGAATAAAATAAAACAAAATTCTAAAATAAACGAAACGCTTAAACAACTCAAGGGAATGGGAAAAGATTTTGGTAGGTAAGTAACGATTTAAAATTTTAACCTATTTATAGAAGAAAATTTCAATAAAAGTTTTCTATAAACTTCTGCTAAAAATGTTTAAAGTATAGACTATGGGCTATTTAATGGACTCGACTATATACTGAACTATAGTATCGATTTTAAATAATTCAATAGTCTCGACTATGGATAGTTCTAAAGTCTCGACTATACACTGATCTAAAGCTTCGACTATATGCTATTCTAAAGTATGAATTTTAGACTATACAATAGTCTCGTCATAAGACTATTTTATAGTCCCGACTTAAAAATATTCCATAGCCTCGAGTTTAGACAAAACTATAAATAATTCTAGTGTCGGCTATGGACTATTCTATGAAATTGATGGTAGACTATTCTATATTCTGGACTAAAGACTTTTCTATAGTCTAGACTTTAAGACTATTCTACATTATCGACTATAAACTAGTTATTATAAATCCTCATTTAGATTATAGATTGTTTTAAAGTCTCTTCATAACACCATTCTCTAGTTTCGACTTAAATAACACCATTCCATAGCCTCGAATTTAAACAATATAAATAATTTTAGTCACGACTAAATAATTTTCCATAGACTCGACTTCAACAGAACGTTATTCGTTCGATTGTCTCGATTACAGTCAGTTAATTAATCGCTACTATAGACAGTTCTATAACTTCGATGAGTAGAAGTTATATAGGCCCCTATTCTGCATTTCAATTCGAATCGAAATTTTCTCCGTTTGGCAACTTTGGTATTCTGCATTTCGATTCGGCTCTCCGCCACATAAACAACTTACAAAAACGTAGGTACGATCGTAACGCAGAATACACACATTCGTAAAGCATTGAAACGAAATGGAATTGCTTCTTTTTTTCTTACAATTCAGTTTTTTTGGTGAAATACCTTTTTTCGGTCGTTGCGTAACTGAATGCTTAAACGTAATCGAAATATCACCTATAACAAAAATTTTAGTCTTATCTATAGCCCATTTAATGTTCTATATTTTCGATTGTACACAGTTTTGTAGTTTCGATTAAAGACCACTCTAAACTAGAGATTGTTCCAGAGTCTTTACTACTACAGATAGTTCTATGCTACAGATAGTTCTATATTCAGATAGTGCTACGCGCTGCTTCTTATGAACAGTACTTGAGGAAATTTATGATTAGCAAAAAACGGAAAAATTCCATCATCAAAATGGCTGATGCGGTGTTCGAATAGGTATTTATTTTAATTCGTTTCATGAAGTTTTAGACATGACTATAGACAGTTCTATAACATCGGCTATAAATAATTCTATATTCTCGACAACAGATAGTTCTATAGTTTCGAATAGGCATTGTTATATTATACACTATAAACATACAGTTCTATAGTCTCCACTATAGACTATAGAATTGTTTATAGTCTCGACTATAGACAGTTCTTTAGTCTCGGCTATAGATAGTTTTATAGTCTTGACTATAGACAGTTTTATTGTCTCTACTATGGGCAGTACTATAGTCTCCACTATACAGAGTTCAATATTATTGACAGCAGAAAGTTTTATAGTCTTGACTATGGACATTTCTTTAGTTTCGACTAAACGTTTCGACTATAGACATTTCTTTACTCTCGATTATAAACTTTGCTAATATCTCAACTACAGATTTTTCTATAGTCTCGACTATAGACTTTTCTGTAGTCCTGACTACAGATTTTTTTCTATAGTCTGTCTATTTTGCCGTGGTTCTATTGTCTCGTTTATAGACAATTCTATAGTCCCAACTTAAGACAGTTCTATAGTCTCGACTATAGACAGTTCTATAGTCACGACTAAAGACAGTTCATAGTCTCGACTATAGACAGTTCTGTAGTCTCGACTTCAGAAAGTTCTATAATCTCGACTATAGACAGTTCTATAGTCTCGACTATAGACATTTCTCTACGCTCGATTATAAACTTTGCTAATATCTCAACTACAGATTTTTCTATAGTCTCGACTATAGACTTTTCTGTAGTCTCGACTATAAACAGTTCTATAGTCTCGACTATAAATAGTTCTATAGTCGAGACTATAAACAGATCTATAGTCCCGATTATAGACAGTTCTATAGTCACGACTAAAGACAGTTCTATATTCTCGACTATAGACAGTTCTGTAGTATCAATTACAGACAGTTCAGTAGTCTCGACTATAGACAGTCTCAACTATAGACAGTTCTATAGTCTCAACTGTACACAGTTTTATAGTCTCGATTATAGACAGTTATATAGTCTCGACTATAGACAAATATTCTATGTTCTTTTATATTCTGTTTATACCCTACACCACTTTAGTGGGGAGGGTATATTGGGTTTGTGCTGATGTTTGTAACGCACAATAATATTGGTCCTATACCCACCTTAAAGTATACCAATCGGCTCAGAATCATTTTCTGAGTCGATTTAGCTATGTCCGTCCGTCTGTCCGTCCATGTAAACCTTGTAATCAAACTACAGGTCGCAATTTTGAAGATAATTCAATGAAATTTGGTACATGATCTTCTATTGTCCCAGGGACGAAGCCTATTGAAAATGGTTACCATCGGTCCATTATTTCACCTAGCCCCCATACAACTGAACCCCCCAAATAGGGCTTTTAAAACTTGTAATCAAACTACAGGTCGCAATTTTGGATATAATTCAATGAAATTTGGCACATGATCTTTTATGGTACCGTAGATGAAGCCTGTTGAAAATGGTTTACATCGGTTCATTATTTCACCTAGCCCCCATACAACTGAACCCGCCGAATAGGGCTTTTAAGTTCATAATTATGTTTAATATACTCATATCTCGACAAAAAGCTGCAATAACCAAGTTGTATACAAGACTTGATGACCCCCACGAATTCCATAATAATAGGTTCTCATATGACCCTAGCCCCTATAAAAACCCCCATCAAAATTTCACTTAAATGTCCACAATTTTATTCAACAATAAACGGCTTAAGTATGAATATCTAAGGCAAGGTACAATTCAACTTAAATGCTTTATTATGGCAACTAAATCACATTATATTTTTGTCAAAGGTGTAGGGTATTATATGGTCGGCCTCGCCCGACTATAATTTCTTACTTGTTTAAATTTTCGATTGACTAGACCATAGTAGAAAAAATAAAGGTATGGCCGTTCTCTCTTTTTGTAGCCATATTAAACTTCTGACGTTTGGGCGAATTATTATTTTATTGCTTAAAATCGTGCTACCATATCTACCTTAAAACCTATGTTTTTTGTTTACTTTTATATTTCTTTTTCAAATGTCTGTAAAAATATTTTTTCAAATATAAATTAAAAAATATTATAAATAAAACAAATATTCCGTGAGATTACAAAATATAAATCAAATAATACTATCTACCAAAGTCTGTTGCTTCCAAATTTGTGTGTCGGGAGATGCTGGCCAGTCTCACTGGCCAGCATTATATAGGAGTTTCAACATACCATCAAAGAAGAAAGTTGCTGACGTCTTTGTTCTAGAGAATATAATTTTGTTTAATAAATAGCGAAAATGTTCTGATCAATCTTATATAGTACTAATCTAACAGCGCTCACGATATTTGAAAGTTTTACTTCTTCAGGACCATCGTATATATTGTGTGTATGTATGTCCGGTAGGCCATTTATTAACACTGTAAAGTCTAATAATATCCCTTTTAATCCAGTGGCATACTACGTTTTACAAAAAGGAAAATATCCCTATTTTGACCTGATTTTAAAACGGAATATGCCAGTGGATTCTATTTTTGATTTTCATTGCACACAGCGACAAGATCTAGGAATACCAGTAAATCAACCAGTACCTTTTAGCAATTCAGAAGCACGTCCTGAAGTCCCTTAAACCAAATAAAGAAATTAGGTGGCGTGTCATAATGTCCATGGACGATATGACACACTAAATTAAGTCATAGTGTCCATGGACGTTGACAATTTTAAAAGTGTCACAATGTCTACGAACAAAAGGACATAAAAAAGTACATTTATCAAAAATGTGTTAATATAGCGAAGCCGGTATTCGAAATACCCTAGAATTTAAAACCCCCTTACGAGGACACTTTTTTAATCCAATCCTAAATGCAACATACACCAAATTTAGGAGCAACTCTTTTCGGGATGAGAGTGTCCCTTTCTTTAAATCTAAATAAAATTTCCAAAACTTTTCTTTTTTAAAAGTGTCATAATGTCCATGGACATTGTGTCACTGGACATTATGATACGCCACCAAGAAATTACCATTGAGTAGAAGAAATTCCAGCGAATTTATGGTTAATCACCTTCATTCTTTCTTTGTAAAGTGTTAGTTTATATAAAAATATAAAACAATAATAAAACATTTATTAAAACGTATTTATAATCGTTTATATTTGCAATTCACAACAGTTACACTTTTGTTGTAAACAAAATTACACATTTTTTAATTCTGATTTCCTAAATATAATTTCCCTTTTAAACTGTGTGGCAACGTTTTTATTTATTTGTTTACAAAAACTATATATCAAAAAATCTTATTTACGTCAAAAAATTTTTCATTAAGAGAGAACGGAGTTACCTTGTTTTCTATATACCATGGACTAGACTATTCTCAAAAGTAAACAATTTTCAATTTTCATACTTGATTATTAACAGACTATATACAGTTCTATAGTCTCGACTAAGAACAGTTGTATAGTCCCTATTAAAAGATAGTTCTACAGCCTAAACTGTACACAGTTCCAGTATTAGTATTATATTCAGTCCTATTCACGACGGCAGACAGTTCTAGTTGCAACAGAATTTCACAACCTCAACTATAGGCTATCCTTAGCCTAAGTCCTACAGTTCATTATATTAGTTAGTTAAGGTAAATACATACCTTAACTCTTCGGAATGGAAAACTCATCAGTTGATTATTTCATGTATAATCAAAATTTAGAATATCATAGTCCTTATATTTATTATATTTTTCATTTTTTTTTTCATTAATTTTATTTTATTTCTTTTTTTATTAAATTCTCATTTTAAATTTTTCTTACAATGACTCAATGTATTTTTGTTTTAACAGTAAATTTACAAAAAAAGAAAAATATATATTTATAAATTATATAAAAAAATATTTTGTTAATAAAACAAAATAAAGAGGATAAAATGAAATTAGAAATATGATTTTTTTGTTTTATTTTCTTTGTTTTTTCTATATATAAATTAAGGTAATGTATACTTTTTTTTTTAATTTTCATTTTAGCTTCTTGGTTGTTTTCTTTAATTTTTATTTTCTTATTTATCATAATTTTTATAAATTACAATTAGTATTTATAAATTAATGTTATTTTTCTTTTTCTTTTCAGTTTTTGTTAAAAAATACATAATCTATTGCTTGTTATTAGTTATTTTATGAAAACATGTTTTATGTTATTTGTTTTGTTTTTTTGTTTAAATGTTGTTTATTTTAAAATTTTACTAGAAAATTTATTAACTTTACAAATGGATTTTATTTTGTTTTGTTTTTGTTGTAATTTATTTATGTTTAGTTTATTTTATTTTAGTCATTTCTGCTATGTTTTGTTTTCTTTTAACAACGAATTGGATCTTTTCTTTTTTAAGGAAATTTAGAGTTTGGAGAAAAATGTACACTTATGTTGGATTGGTTGGTTGTGGGTTTTAATAATTTTTTGACAAACTATTCTTTATTTTGAATATTTTTTTTAAACAAATATTGTTTATTAAATATAATTTTTTTTCTTGTTTTTGTATGTTATTTTTAAAGTATGAAATTTTTTTAAATTATTTTTAACTACTATTTATTTGTTTTACTACGTTTTACGACTTTTTTTATAACTAACTTAATTTGTTGTGGTTGGTTTAACTTATAAAATCTAGCAAAATATTGTTTTACTTATTTTCAAATATGGGGTTTATATCTTTCACATTATTTATTTTTAATTCTTATTTTTTACTTAATTTTAAATTTATTTCGTTATGCTGGTTGGTTGGTTTGTTTTATTACTACATTATTTTCTTTATATTATTTTGTTTGTTTTAATAGAAAACTTGCTGAGAATGTTTTCTACATTTAATTATGTTTTTAAATATTTTAGGATTTTATTTATTTTTTTAATTTTTACAAAACTATAACAAATTATTATATAAAAATAAAATGTAGAAAATATAGAGAATTTTAACGCTAAACACACCACTTTTATTTTTATAAAAGAAGAGTAAGAAAATTATGAATTAGAAAAAAATTGAAAATTAAATTAATGTTTAGATTGAATAGGAAATTTTGATTAACTAAAAGCAGGGAAATGTACAAACTTTTTTCCGAATTAGAATAGGAAAATACAGATATTAAATCTTTCAGATGATGGCATTACCTATGGAACATATCTGATTTTTTCTAAAATAAAAACTTACAAAAATCGTAATGCAGAATGCACATACAGTCTACACTATAGGCAGCTCTATAATCTCAACAATACACAGCTCTATAGTCTCGACTATAGTCAGTTCTATAGTCTCAACTATAAACAGTTCTAAAGTCTCGATTATGAACAGCTATATAATCTCAACTATACACAGTTCTATAGTCTCGACTATGGGCGGCTCTAAAATCTGAACTATACAGAATTCTATAATCTTGACTATAAACAGTTTTACACTCTCGACTATGGACAGCTCTATAATCTCAACAACACGCAGTTCAATAGTCTAGACTATAGACAGTTCTAATCTCAACTATGGACAGCTCCATAATCCCAACTACACACAGTTCTATAGTATCGACTAAAGACAGTTCTATAGTCTCGACAATAGACAGTTCTATAGTCTCGACAATAGACAGTTCTATAGTCTCGACTATAGACAGTTCTATAGTCTCGACTATAGACAGTTCTATAGTCTCGACTATAGACAGTTCTATAATCTCGACTATAGACAGTTCTATAGTCTCGACTATAGAAAGTTCTATAGTCTCGACTATAAACAGTTCTATAGTCTCGACTATAGACAGTTCTATAGTCTCGACTATAGACAGTTCTATAGTCTCGACTATAGACAGTTCTATAGTCTCGACTATAGACAGTTCTATAGTCTCGACAATAGACAGTTCTATAGTCTCGACTATAGAATGTTCTATAGTTTGACTATAGAATGTTCTATAGTTCGACTATAGACAGTTCTATAGTCTCGACTATAGACAGTTCTATAGTCTCGACTATAGATAGTTTTATAGTCTCGACTATAGACAGTTCTATAGTCTCGACTATAGACAGTTCTATAGTCTCGACTATAGACAGTTCTATAGTCTCGACTATAGACAGTTCTATAGTCTCGACTATAGACAGTTCTATAGTCTCGACTATAGACAGTTCTATAGTCTCGACTGTAGACAGTTCTATAGTCTCGACTATAGACAGTTCTATAGTCTCGACTATAGACAGTTCTATAGTCTCGACCATAGACAGTTCTATAGTCTCGACCATAGACAGTTTAATAGTCTCGACTATAGACAGTTCTATAGTCTCGACTATAGACAGTTCTATAATCTCGACTATAGACAGTTCTATAGTTTCGACTATAGACAGTTCTATAGCCTCGACTATAGACAGTTTTATAGTCTCAACTATAGGTAGTTCTATAGTCTCGACTATAGACAGTTCTATAGTATCGACTGAAGACAGTTCTATAGTATCGATTATAGACAGTTCAATATTCTTGACTGTAGACAGTTCTATAGTCTTGACTTGAGGCAGTTCTATAGTTTGAGGCTTGAGTCTCGACTATAGACAGTTCTACAGTCTCGACTAAAGACAGTTCAACATTCATGACTAAAGACAGTTCTATAGTCTCGACTATAGTCAGTTTAATTTTCTTGACTATAGACAGTTCTATAGGCTCGACTATAGACAGTTCTATAGTCTCGACTATAGACAGTTCTATTGTCTCGACTATTGACAGTTCTATAGTCTCGACTATAGACAGTTATATAGTCTCGGCTATGTACAGTTCTATAGTCTCGACTAGTATCTACTATAAAAAGTTCTATAGTCTCGATTGTAGACTGTTTAATTGTCTCGACTATAGTAGAATTCCTTATAGTCTCGACTGTAGACTGTAGTCTTGACTATAGACAGTTCTATAGTCTCGACAATAAACAGCTCTATATACTTGACTTTTGACTGTTAAAGGTGTAATGTGAAAAGGATGAATTGAGCCACGGATTAGAATATTATAGGTCAAATACTTTTCAATGCTTTTGTTTGGAAAATATGCTAATGCTATAATATGTATAGACTGTTTCGATTTCAATAACATTGTTGATAACCTGTAGACGAAGTTTTTATTGTTTAAAACTCTTTTTGTAAATTTCAGAAAATTCAAAATTTTGATTCAATACATCTACATATTTATATTTCTAATTCATCAACCAAATGGAAATTTAACAAACGTTCATGACGTTTAGCGAAAAATTGTTATTTTTTTAATAATAAAAACAAAAAATAAAAATATATATAAAAAATTATGTGTATGTGTGTTTTTCTTTTTTTTAATTTACAAATATTTATAAATTTTACAAATCTAACATTATAAGGCCATATTTTACAGAATTAACATTTCAATTTAAATCTTTTATTTTTGCGATTTATATTATGTGTGAAGAAAAAAAAACTTGATTTTTTTTGTTTCCTTAATTAAACCGATATAACAAATACAAAAAGAATTTTAAATCAACGCTACATAAAAATAAAAAAAGAAAAATTAAAAAATTTTCATAAAAAAAATAAAAAAGAAATTAAAAAAAAAATCCAATGATAAAAATTAAAAATCTAGGAAAAAAACGTAGATAGAAAAAAATATTGCCATTTTATATAAAAAAAAATAAAAAAACATGGTTTTTATATATATTTTTTGAGGTTTTTCTTTTTTTTTTTTGTTTATGAATAAAGATTATTTTTTTAAAAAATACGAAAACTTTACATATAAATATTATTTGCTTTATGATTTTTTTCTCTTGTTTGTTTCTAGTGGAAGCAGTATGGTAAAATAATTTTATAACTAAAACAAAAAAATAAAGATTATAATTATAATAAATGTTGAAAAAAAATATCTAACAAAATATTGTTTGTTGTTAAGCAATTTGTTAAAAAAAAAGAAACGAAAGAAGAGCGTTGATTTTTCTTTCCTTTTTTTTCTTTAATAATAATTAATGACAAGAACCGATTAAAAAAACGGAAAGTGTAAGGGAAATTAATTTAAAGTTATAAAATAAAGCATTTAAAAATATAAATAACAAAGACAGAGTAGTTTGAGTAGTTTAGAATAGGGATGACTGATATACGAGTAATTATAATATTCAATTAAAGAAGAGAGAAAAATAATGTATGAAAAAGTTGAAAACAATAGGAGTACAGCTGAAGGAGTAGTAGTAGTAGTAAGTAGCACATGAGTAGGAAGAGAAAGAGTTGAAAAAAATTACATTTTTTACACTATATTGTAGATTGTTGTAGTTTGTTTGTTGTTGGGGTATTTTCCTTAAAATAATGCATCACTTAAGATATGCCTTAAATAACATTTGGCTTCGACACGTTTCACGTTCTTGTTCCATAAAGAAGAGCATATCACGTAAATTAACACGTTTAATACGCGGCCTTAAGGGTGCCGGTGCCGCTGATGGTCCTAACACACTATTTATACCAGAACCCTAAAAATCATATTATAAGAACGAACAAGAAGAATTTGAAAGTTATAGATAGAGATTCATTCCGCATAAAACTAAAGAGTTTATGATTTGTTAAGTTTGTACTTACCAAACCACTACTAGCACCATCACTATCAAGTTTTAACTTTTTACGTGGACCAATAGCTTGCAGAGCTGTCATATTGGCATCACGTTGTCTCAGTTCTTCCATTTCAGCGCGTTGCATTTCTTTTGCCTGCAAAAGGGGAAAAATTACATATTTAGAAATTTATTGGAATGATAAATGAAAGAGAAAAATGTTGTGGGCTCAAGATAATCGCACGTCTAAAAGTAATCTCCCAGGACCATCCCAACTTACCCTCGCTTTCATTTTGGCCTGTTCGGGATCTTCAACTTTCGAACGTGATTTCGCTGCACGCAATAACATTTCACGTTCCAATTCTTCATGACGTTTTTGTTCAGCCTTGTCTAGTTCTTCCAGAAACTTAATTTGACCGCGTACATCTTTTGTTACTTCATAACGAGGATCCAACTAGAAAATTTAAAAAATAACTCTATATCAAATACATTCCTTTCAAAGAAAACCATTTCTCATTTCTTTACCTTTATAACATCTATACGATGTTCCGCTATCACTGCCAATTTTTCGACAATATTTTTCAAACGCTCTTGGCATGCATGAGATATTAGCACAGCTACATCTTGTGATGGTTCCTCTAAGCCACGTTCCATTACCATCGAACGTATACGTGCCTGGAGTGCGGGTAAGTGGAGAAAAACCTCATCTTTGCATGAACGTATTTGTGTGCCGATATTTTCCGTACAACCTAAAATACGTTGAGTTTCTTCGGCCAAATTAACGCCACCCATGGCGGCGACATCGTTGATGTCATCATCGCCATACGATGACATTGATATGGAAGGTTGTTGGAAAAACGAAGCCGCACTTGTGGCCGACGTTGAAGTGGTGAGTTTTTGTTCTTCACGCTCTTTGTCGGCCAGATCTTTTTTCTTTTTCGCTGCCGCTTTACTGGCCGAGGCAGCAGATGATTTGGCAGGAGCTCTGTTAGCCGTTGTAGGTGTTTGTGGTGTAGCCATCGATGAGGGCGGCATTGTCATTATACTTGACGATGTGGCGGAGGAGGAGGAGGTGTTTGATATTAAAGTTGGGGTTGTTTTGATTTCGTTTTTAATTTCGGAAGCTTTTATTGATTCCAGCAATGCCGTATTTGTGCTAATTAAAGAGTTGGCGTTGTTAATCAATTGCTGTTGCTGCTGTTGTTGTTGGGCCAGCACTGCCGGTGGTAATTGCACGGTGGGTAATGATGGTACCGGTAAACTAGTCCCGCTACCCATCGAATTGCTAGCAACAGAATTAATTGTCGAAATAATTGAAGCCGATGATGATAGATTTGATGACGCCGTGGGCACATTATTCGAAATGGCAGCCAACGAGGGTGGTTGTGACGAAATGGCGGGTGAGGGCGATGAGGATATCGCTTTAATTTGAGTTTGACCCACTTTAACATGCGTTATGCTAGGACTAGCTGTTGAAGTCGTTGTATTTTTACCCTTAGCCGTACGTATTTGAACAGTGGCAGGACGATTAAGTTGTGTTGCTGTAGGAGCTCGTATTTGAACAATATTCTATTGAGAGAGAGAACATTAGTTTTTATATAGTACTAAAATGGAACATTTAATTAATTACCGCATGCGTTGGTGCTGTTTGCAGTTGTTGTGTTGCATTTGTTTGCTGCTGCACTGGTCCCCGTATTTGAGTATTTAACAGACGTGGCCCATTCGCCGGTCCCTGTATGCGTATACCGCTCACTGGCTGTTTTGTTATCGTAGTATGTCCAATTGGTCTTGTAGCCGAGGCGGGTGATATCATACGCACTTGTGTCTGTCCAATGGTTGTGGTTTGATTTTGACTAATGGGACGGATATGTGCTTGAATTTTCTAAAAAGTAGAGATTTACAAAATTAACGCTTCTTATAGAAACTTGTTACAATTTTTGTGTATTGTTACTTACCGGTAAGTGTTGCTGTATACTGATGCCACCCACTACGTGTTGTGGCGGTGGTTTTATACCTTCGATTACCAATTCTTTAGAAAATAGAGCTTGCCGCAGCAGTGGTAAACTTTTCTGTAATTTTTATACGAAAATTTACTTATAAATTATTGTTTATTTGAAAAATCCGAACTTTAAAAACATACCTTCAAAAATCCTATTAAACATGGTTGTGGACTGGCATTCAATAATCGCTCCAAACGATCACAAAACTCTTCCGGTTCAACATTTGCATTTACCAGTTCCTGTATCAAATTTCTTACATTCTTCTCCACCGGTTTTGGTTCACGTGTCGATAGATCTATTAAATTTGCCAAAAATTTACGACATTTCTCTTTGGTATTACCCTGAGCGGTAGCACTCTGAGGCGTTGTTGTTGTGGTGGTTAACGTAGTACTACCGCTTATGTTATTCGTACTATTGGCATTATTATGTATAGTATTGTTATTGGTATTTGTTTGATGATGTTGTTGTTGCTGCTGTTGTTGGTTCTGTTGGATTTGATTTGTTTGTTGGGCTGGTATTGTCTGTATCTGGGTTATTTGGGGTTGGGATTGTAGATGTTGAGTCTGCTGATGGAATTGTTGTTGCTGCTGCTGTTGATGATGGTGCTGCTGCTGTTGTTGTTGCTGTTGATGATGTTGTTGCATAGAGGCAACAACATTCGTTGTTGTATGATGTGGCTGCATTGATATGTTCGATTGCGACGTATAGGTCGGTTGAGAATTGGAAGTAGCCACCGAATTGACCACTATACTATTGGCGGTTGAGGTATTTGATATTGACTATATAGAGAAGAAATTAGTATTAAAAAAACAAATAGTACTTTAGGTAAATACAAGTGTAAGTTAAAAAAAAAATTGTAAGCACAAGTAAAACAACTATAAATTATTACACCAAAAAATATAATAATGAATTGATTAATTTGAAATGCAAAATTATATATTACAATAATATCAATGTTTATATGATTAGCAAAAAAAAAAACAAAATCAAAATGATTTTCAGCTAAAGAAAATCAAAGTAAGAATTTTTTAATATAAAAAAACTATTACATATTTACATTAATAAAGCAACCAACATTCAGTACTACAGGCAAATTATAAAAAAATACATATTTTTTTAAAAAGAGTCTTATGAGATTCTTATTTAAAATAAGCTATAAAATTTCAAAAGTGCAAAATTTTGTGCTAAACAACAGTTTTGTTTATATATTTTTTTTTTTTTTTCAAAAATATATAAATTATAGATTTTCTCTCATTATCTTAAAAAGAAACAGTTAAAACAAAATGTAATTAAAATAAATTGGCCAAAAAATAATTTTTCAATGAATAATTTTTGAAAATTAAGCAATTTAACTAAAGATGATCATTATTTTTACACAAATAGTTGGGTGGTGTTTGGGGGAAATACATATGTATATATTTTAATAAAAAGATTTTAAATACTTTTTATTAAAAAAAATTTAATACTGAAATTGAACTGAACTAGAACTGAACTAGAACTGAACTAGGACAGAACTAGAACTGAACTAGAACTGAACTAGAACTGAACTAGAACTGAACTAGAACTGAACTAGAACTGAACTAGAACTGAACTAGAACTGAACTAGAACTGAACTAGAACTGAACTAGAACTGAACTAGAACTGAACTAGAACTGAACTAGAACTGAAGTAGAACTGAACTAGAACTGAACTAGAACTGAAGTAGAACTGAACTAGTACTGAACTAGAACTGAACTAGAACTGAGCTAGAACTGAACTAGAACTGAACTAGAACTGAACTAGAACTGAACTAGAACTGAACTAGAACTGAAATAGAACTGAACTAGAACTGTACTAGAACTGAACTAGAACTGAACTAGAACTGAACTAGAACTGAACTAGAACTGAACTAGAACTGAACTAGAACTGAACTAGAACTGAACTAGAACTGAACTGAACTGAACTAGAACTGAACTAGAACTGAACTAGAACTGAACTAGAACTGAACTAGAACTGAACTAGAACTGAACTAGAACTGAACTAGAACTGAACTAGAACTGAACTAGAACTGAACTAGAACTGAACTAGAACTGAACTAGAACTGACTAGAACTGAACTAGAACTGAACTAGAACTGAACTAGAACTGAACTAGAACTGAACTAGACTGAACTAGAACTGAACTAGAACTGAACTAGAACTGAACTAGAACTGAACTAGAACTGAACTAGAACTGAACTAGAACTGAAATAGAACTGAACTAGAACTGAAATAGAACTGAACTAGAACTGAACTAGAACTGAACTAGAACTGAACTAGAACTGAACTAGAACTGAACTAGAACTGAACTGAACTGAACTAGAACTGAACTAGAACTGAACTGAACTAGAACTGAACTAGAACTGAACTAGAACTGAACTAGAACTGAACTAGAACTGAACTAGAACTGAACTAGAACTGAACTAGAACTGAACTAGAACTGAACTAGAACTGAACTAGAACTGAACTAGAACTGAACTAGAACTGAACTAGAACTGAACTAGAAACTGAACTAGAACTGAACTAGAACTGAACTAGAACTGAACTAGAACTGAACTAGAACTGAACTAGAACTGAACTAGAACTGAACTAGAACTGAACTAGAACTGAACTAGAACTGAACTAGAACTGAACTAGAACTGAACTAGAACTGAACTAGAACTGAACTAGAACTGAACTAGAACTGAACTAGAACTGAACTAGAACTGAACTAGAACTGAACTAGAACTGAACTAGAACTGAACTAGAACTGAACTAGAACTGAACTAGAACTGAACTAGAACTGAACTAGAACTGAACTAGAACTGAACTAGAACTGAACTAGAACTGAACTAGAACTGAACTAGAACTGAACTAGAACTGAACTAGAACTGAACTAGAACTGAAATAGAACTGAACTAGAACTGAATTAGAACTGAACTAGAACTGAACACGAACTAAACTAGAATTGAACTAGAACTGAACTAGAACTGAACTAGAACTGAACTAGAACTGAACTAGAACTGAACTAGAACTGAACTAGAACTGAACTAGAACTGAACTAGAACTGACTAGAACTGAACTAGAACTGAACTAGAACTGAACTAGAACTGAACTAGAACTGAACTAGAACTGAACTAGAACTGAACTAGAACTGAACTAGAACTGAACTAGAACTGAACTAGAACTGAACTAGAACTGAACTAGAACTGAACTAGAACTGAACTAGAACTGAACTAGAACTGAACTAGAACTGAACTAAAACTGAACTAGAACTGAACTAGAACTGAACTAGAACTGAACTAGAACTGAACTAGAACTGAACTAGAACTACTGAACTAGAACTGAACTAGACCTGAACTAGAACTGAACTAGAACTGAACTAGAACTGAACTAAAACTGAACTAGAACTGAACTCAAATTTAAATGCATTGTTATCACCTAATCTAATGACATTTCCATAAACTCTTTAATGAGTTTTGTTATTTTTAGTTAAATGTATTTTTATGAAATTATAGATCTTTCCCAATAATGATTTTAAAACATCGAAACAAACACCAAACATAGTTTTTAAACAAGATTTAAAATCCAGGCACTTCAAAATACATTAAGTTTTACAGTAATGATCATTTTAGTTAAAAATAATACATAATCGAATTGAAACTCAAACTTAATTTTTTTTTCAAAACGAGAGAAACAACAAATAGAAACTAAATAAATTATATTATTATCAAAATTATATTGTTCTCAATCACTAAAAAGCACAACAATTAAAAAAACCTTTACATCTTTAAAAAGAAATTTTCTATTTTCACCCGATTTGCATTCACTCGCATGATAATATGACTTTTAATAATTTAAATTAAAAGAGAGCATAAATATATTAAAAAATGCAACATTTTCTGAATTCACAAAAAAGAAAGAATAGAAAACAAAATCATAGGCAACATATTTTGTTGAGAAGATACGTAAGAATCTAGGTTTGCAAACAAATTTTGAGAATTAGAAAATACTCTCGCTTTATATTGAAACAAAAAGATAAAACTAAATACTCAAAATATTGAAATCAAGTTTAAAATTTAAAATAATGAAAACAAATCATCATTCTTTCTAAAGAATGAGAAAACGAGTATTTATGGAGAATAGAGACGAAATAAAGGATTTAGAGAAGTAAATTAGAGAGAGAATCGAGTGGACAATTACATTTTGTTTAATCTGTTTCAATGTAGTTGTTGCCTGTTGCTGATGTTGTTTTTTTACTTGTTGTTGCGGTTGCTGTTGTTGCGTTTGCGATTGCTGTTGTTGCGATTGGTGGTGGTGGTGATGGGTGGTTGTGGTGGTAGTGGAGGTGGAAGTGGATGATCTTACAATCGTTTTACGTAGTGCTAAAGGTGGCCCTGTGAATCTACTTACAGCAGCTGGAACAGTTTGCAAGCGTATTTGTGGTGGGTTTGTGGAATTAGTGCCAATTGTTTGTGTCACCGGACCCGACGTAGCCGTCCCTACGCGCAATAATTGAAATCCATTTTCTGTTTTCAAAATGAGTGCAGGCGTCTGTCCCGGGGTTAGTGTACTTAATGTTATCTACGGATAAACCAAAAAAACGAAAAAAGAACAAAATCAAAGGAAGGAAATTATGGGAAAATGTAATTTACACACAAAAACACAGGATGTAAAAGTTAATTGTATGCTAAAGATTAATTGTAGAAAAGTAAATTTAAAAAATCATTTTAAATATTAGTTATTGGGCGAATTTGTTGTTTGGTTTGTATTAAAATGTTTCGGGTTATTATTATAAGAGGTTAATTACCACCATCATTCATACATTCCATCCTAAGGTGTTAAAAGAAGTAAAGGCATTTGTTTTTATACCCATACTTTTCTCGATGTGATGTTTAATTTAGTATATAATTTTTTAAGAATAAAAAATAATTAACAAAAATTTTAGACTTACCGCTGGACTTTGTGGTCTAGTTCCCACCATATGTGGTCCTCCAATAACCATTCTTCCCACTGTATTCCCTTGGACATTCTTTGGTTGTTGTTGGGCAGTTGGAGGACGCATGCCTACTACTACACCAGCTGGTATGATGGAATTAAGTAATGGTTGATTACCCTGTTTGTGAATTATATAAATTTGTATATATTAGTTTAATGGTTTCTTAACAATATGGATAATTTTGTATATTTTTTAATTCTTAAATACCATAGACACTACAGCATGCATTTGCTTTCGTTTTGATTTAATGTATTTTTATTAGGAGTTTCATACATCTCTTGTGCAAAATATTTTTTAATATAATTTAAATGCTAAAATAAAATTTAAATGTATGGGAATAAGATTCACATTAATTAATTGGGATTTGGGTAGGTTGCTAGTTATATGTATGTTATGTATTTATGCTTAATAAAAGATAAAATTACGATTGCATTTACAAATATATTTTAATTACTAAAACACTTAAGTTGATTTATTTATTAAATTTTGAAGTAATTGGATATTTATTTCTATGGAACATAGAACTAGAACTGAACTAGAACTGAACTAGAAATGAACTATATAGATAATTTAGAACTGAACTAGAACTAGACTAAACTGAACTAGAACAGAACTAGAAGTGAACTAGAAGTGAACTAGAACTGAAATAGAAGTGAACTAGAACTTAACTAAAACTGAACTAGAACTGAACTAGAACTAAACTAGAACTGAACTAGAACTGAACTAGAACTGAACTAGAACTGAACTAGAACTGAACTGGAACTGACTAGAACTGAACTAGAACTGAACTAGAACTGAACTGGAACTGAACTAGAACTGAACTGAACTAGAACTGAACTAGAACTGAACTAGAACTGAACTAGAACTGAACTAAGAACTGAACTAGAACTGAACTAGAACTGAACTAGAAACTGAACTAGAACTGAACTAGAACTGAACTAGAACTGAACTAGAACTGACTAGAACTGAACTAGAACTGAACTAGAACTGAACTAGAACTGAACTAGAACTGAACTAGAACTGAACAGACTAGAACTAGAACTGAACTAGAACTGAACTAGAACTGAACTAGAACTGAACTAGAACTGAACTAGAACTGAACTAGAACTGAACTAGAACTGAACTAGAACTGAACTAGAACTGAACTAGAACTGAACTAGAACTGAACTAGAACTGAACTAGAACTGAACTAGAACTGAACTAGAACTGAACTAGAACTGAACTAAACTGAACTAGAACTGAACTAGAACTGAACTAGAACTGAACTAGAACTGAACTAGAACTGAACTAGAACTGAACTAGAACTGAACTAGAACTGAACTAGAACTGAACTAGAACTGAACTAGAACTGAACTAGAACTGAACTAGAACTGAACTAGAACTGAACTAGAACTGAACTAGAACTGAACTAGACTGAACTAGAACTGAACTAGAACTGAAGCTAGAACTGAACTAGAACTGAACTAGAACTGAATTAGAAACTGAACTAGAACTGAACTAGAACTGAACTAGAACTGAACTAGAACTGAACTAGAACTGAACTAGAACTGAACTAGAACTGAACTAGAACTGAACTAGAACTGAACTAGAACTGAACTAGAACTGAACTAGAACTGAACAAGAACTGAACTAGAACTGAACTAGAACTGAACTAGAACTGAACTAGAACTGAACTAGAACTGAACTAGAACTGAACTAGAACTGACTAGAACTGAACTAAAAACTGAACTAAAACTGAACTTGAACTGAACTTGAACTGAACTTGAAACTGAACTTGAACTGAACTTGAACTGAACTTGAACTGAACTAGAACTGCACTAGAACTGAACTTGAACTGAACTTGAACTGAACTTGAACTGAACTTGAACTGAACTTGAACTGAACTTGAACTGAACTTGAACTGAACTTGAACTGAACTTGAACTGAACTTGAACTGAACTTGAACTGAACTTGAACTGAACTTGAACTGAACTTGAACTGAACTTGAACTGAACTTGAACTGAACTTGAACTGAACTAGAACTGAACTAAAACTGAACTAGAACAGAACTAAAACTGAATGAACTAGAACTGAACTAGAACTGAACTAGAACTAGAACTGAACTAGAACACGAATTGAACTAGATATGAAATATAACTGTTATAATAATGATTTAGATTTGATCAAGAACAGAACATAATATGAACTGGAGGAACTGTAACAGATTTAATTTTTTTATATTACTTTTTATAAACCGCTACCAAGCGTTCAAAAGAACCTGCTGAAGGACATGGACAGAGGTATTATTCGGATAATCAATTAGCCCTCTAGTTCTAAAAGCAAACAGCATAAAAGAACTGTGTACTAAAGGCGACACGGATACGATTGCTGTGTAAGAAACTGTGGAGTACTTTATGTTTCGATAATTATTTTTAAATTAGTATTAATATTAACAAAAAAGCATAAAGTAAAGCAATCAAAAAGTAGTATGCCTCAAAATAATGCTAGAAAGACCGAAAGCATGCTTAAACTCTACAAAGTACTTAATTCTAAAATTTAAAAAATAAAATATGGAAAACAAGCAACAGACCAGCGGTGTTTGATATATAGTTATTATCTAACATATTCTAATGCACCCATTTTGCCAAAATTATAAAAATAAAAAGAAATTTAGTTTTAAACAACAATATTGAAAGTGAACTGAAGACAATGTTCTCAATACAAATAAGATATATTATTGAAAGGAAATCGTTGGAGGAATTGTAATCAAACAAAGAGTTCTACAAATCAAGAGAATAATACAAATTGCAATTTTGACAGTTTAGTTCAAATTTGGAAAGAAAAAAAGAAGAAGGCAACTTTGTCTACAGTTTTTGTTTTCGTTTCTTTGTTTTGTGTTTTAAGAAATACCAAATAAAACATTCTAATATAGATTGATTATAAAAACGACCAACAGGAGAAACTAATTGATCGTTAGAAGACTACATATGTTTTTATATAAAGATTGTTTTTTTTTTTTTTTTGTAAATTTCAATTTTGGACTTCGTTTCTTTGAATTTGGCGACCCATACCTGTTGTATGGTTTTGGTCATAGTTACAATTCCGGGTGCACTTGAGACAATACCCGCCGGCAATGAGACAGCATGATTAGATTTTATAACTAATGTTTGGGTTTGTGTGGCACCTACTGATTGTTGCTGGTTTTGGACATTTGACGGATTGCCCTGTTGCTGGCTGGCTGTTTGTAAAACCTGGTGATGCTGAACTTGTACCTGTTGGGGCAATGTGTGATGCTGCTGACCAGCAGCACTTGATGTTATTGTCTTGATTGTTGTTGTGTTCGGCAATTGTGACGTCGATATAATCGAACCGCCATGTGCGCTGCCAATATTAATCGTTCCATTGGGCAAAGCTTGACTTGTGAACGTAATACGATTGCCGGGTGCAGCTTGTGTAGGTTGACTTGAATTCATTGCGTTGGAGATGTGAATTTTATTGTTGCTGCTGTTGGTATTATTGTTGCTTAGTTTTATTGCTGATTTTTAACAAATATATTGTGGTTTTGTTTATTTATTTTGTTATTATTGATTATTTGTTTACAAATTTTTGTTGATGATTTGACAGAATTATAGAAACACTTTTGATGAGATCTTTATGCTGAACAAACGATCTTAAGAACGTATATGTTCTAAAGTTACCGTAAACGTTTCAGTACTTTAACGCTTGTTCAGCGTTTATTTATAGATTTAACGTTTGTGTGTTTATTATTGTTGGTGTTTTTTGCTTCAAATGTTTATTATTAGAGGTTTCATGATTATTAGTTTTAAAACGTGTTGGTTTTTTGTTTATAACTTTTCACTTCTTTAAATTCTTCTAAATTTAATTGTAGTTTTAAGATTTTGGTGGTCTGTGGTTGGTTTTCTATTTCTTAAATACTTGTGTGTTTTGTTGTTGTTGTTGCATATAGAACTTATTTGTTGTTCATATTTAGTTGCCACTGCCGCCTTTAAATATAGAAATAAATAAAATATTTATCAATTATTTGTAAAAATTATTGCAAGTATAGGATATTTAGACATATTGAAATAAATTAAGAAACAACGAAGGATTTTTCTTATAAAATTTCTATTTTTATTAATAATTTTCTCGTTGAAAGAAAGGATCTTTTTGGGGTAGGAGTCTTAATTGTATATAATTTAAAATGCTTATTGGTATGCACATGTTTTGAAATAGAAGTAATTTTACGTTTTAATAATCCAAGTACATATTTTAAAACTTGCATATACATGAGTAGATATATTTTATATATCCTCCATTTAGATGCCTATGCAAACTAATAAACATAATTAAATAAAAATCTCTTTATTGTAAAGGTTTTTATATGTTTTAAACCAGGAACAGTGTATCGATTATCTAGCTTATTTTTCATTTATAGAGCATTGTCTCAATTAATAAATTTTAATTAAGAAGACAATAATGGGTGGAAAGCAACTTCCATATATAGCCAATTATTTTATCTACTCAACAGAACTAGAACAGAACTAGAACTGAACTAGATCTGAACTAGAACTGAACTAGAACTGAACTAGAACTGAACTAGAACTGAACTAGAACTGAACTAGAACTGAACTAGAACTGAACTAGAACTGAACTAGAACTGAACTAGAACTGAACTAGAACTGAACTAGAACTGAACTAGAACTGAACTAGAACTGAACTAGAACTGAACTAGAACTGAACTAGAACTGAACTAGAACTGAACTAGAACTGAACTAGAACTGAACTAGAACTGAACTAGAACTGAACTAGAACTGAACTAGAACTGAACTAGAACTGAACTAGAACTGAACTAGAACTGAACTAGAACTGAACTAGAACTGAACTAGAACTGAACTAGAACTGAACTAGAACTGAACTAGAACTGAACTAGAACTGAACTAGAACTGAACTAGAACTGAACTAGAACTGAACTAGAACTGAACTAGAACTGAACTAGAACTGAACTAGAACTGAACTAGAACTGAACTAGAACTGAACTAGAACTGAACTAGAACTGAACTAGAACTGAACTAGAACTGAACTAGAACTGAACTAGAACTGAACTAGAACTGAACTAGAACTGAACTAGAACTGAACTAGAACTGAACTAGAACTGAACTAGAACTGAACTAGAACTGAACTAGAACTGAACTAGAACTGAACTAGAACTAAACTAGAACTGAACTAGAACTGAACTAGAACTGAACTAGAACTGAACTAGAACTGAACTAGAACTGAACTAGAACTGAACTAGAACTGAACTAGAACTGAACTAGAACTGAACTAGAACTGAACTAGAACTGAACTAGAACTGAACTAGAACTGAACTAGAAACTGAACTAGAACTGAACTAGAACTGAACTAGAACTGAACTAGAACTGAACTAGAACTGAACTAGAACTGAACTAGAACTGAACTAGAACTGAACTAGAACTGAACTAGAACTGACTAAACTGAACTAGAACTGAAGTAGAACTGAACTAGAACTGAACTAGAACTGAACTAGAACTGAAGTAGAACTGAACTAGTACTGAACTAGAACTGAACTAGAACTGAACTAGAACTGAACTAGAACTGAACTAGAACTGAACTAGAACTGAACTAGAACTGAACTAGAACTGAACTAGAACTGAACTAGAACTGAACTAGAACTGAACTAGAACTGAACTAGAACTGAACTAGAACTGAACTAGAACTGAACTAGAACTGAACTAGAACTGAACTAGAACTGAACTAGAACTGAACTAGAACTGAACTAGAACAATTATTTTATCTACTCAACAGAACTAGAACTAGAACTGAACTAGATCTGAACTAGAACTGAACTAGAACTGAACTAGAACTGAACTAGAACTGAACTAGAACTGAACTAGAACTGAACTAGAACTGAACTAGAACTGAACTAGAACTGAACTAGAACTGAACTAGAACTGAACTAGAACTGAACTAGAACTGAACTAGAACTGAACTAGAACTGAACTAGAACTGAACTAGAACTGAACTAGAACTAAACTAGAACTGAACTAGAACTGAACTAGAACTGAACTAGAACTGAACTAGAACTGAACTAGAACTGAACTAGAACTGAACTAGAACTGAACTAGAACTGAACTAGAACTGAACTAGAACTGAACTAGAACTGAACTAGAACTGAACTAGAACTGAACTAGAACTGAACTAGAACTGAACTAGAACTGAACTAGAACTGAACTAAACTGAACTAGAACTGAACTAGAACTGAACTAGAACTGAACTAGAACTGAACTAGAACTGAACTAGAACTGAACTAGAACTGAACTAGAACTGAACTAGAACTGAACTAGAACTGAACTAGAACTGAACTTGAACTGAACTTGAACTGAACTTGAACTGAACTAAAACTGAACTTGAACTGAACTTGAACTGAACTTGAACTGAACTAGAACTGAACTAAAACTGAACTACAACAAAACTAAAACTGAACTAGAACTGATATTGAACTGAACTAGACCTGAACTAGAACTGAACTAGAACTAAATTAGAAATAAACTAAACTAGAACTAAACTAGAACTAAACTAGATCTAAACTAGAACTAAACCAGAACTAAAATAGAACTGTACTAGAAATGAACTAGAACTGAAATAGAAATGAACTAGAACTGAACTAGAACTGAACTAGAACTGAACTAGAACTGAACTAGAACTGAACTAGAACTGAACTAGAACTGAACTAGAACTGAACTAGAACTGAACTAGAACTGAACTAGAACTGAACTAGAACTGAACTAGATCTGAACTAGAACTAACTAGAACTGAACTAGAACTGAACTAGAACTGAACTAGAACTGAACTAGAACTGAACTAGAACTGAACTAGAACTGAACTAGAACTGAACTAGAACTGAACTAGAACTGAACTAGAACTGAACTAGAACTGAACTAGAACTGAACTAGAACTGAACTAGAACTAGAACTGAACTAGAACTCAACTAGAACCGATCTAGAACTGAACAAGAACTGAACAAGAACTGAATAAGAACTGAACAAGAACTGAACAAGAACTGAACTGGAACATGAGTGAATAATAACTGAACTACTACTTACTAGACTCAACTAGAACCGAACTAGAACTGAACTAGAATTTATATATCTGGACCTCGATAATAATGAAATTGCACTAAAAATACCTTCTAATGAAAATACTTGATAGATGCAAGCAGTTTCTGGTCGAGCAGAATGAGAACTCATAGTATATAGTACTAAAGTAAACAATTCCTAAGCGTGAGGATAACATTGGTGCCATGAAAAGAATATCATATTATGTATTTCTTTTCAGTAAGTGACAGAATATGATTTTAAAAAATTCTCATCATTGAAGAAACATAATTTATTGCTTTTCCAATCTAAAATCAACAAGTACCGGACAGACCATTCATATTTTGAGGTTAAGAGTTTGGTGATAGGGAATTTATCGTTAAAAATATTTAGTATTCCTTAAGTTTTGTGCATTCTAATAATTTTCAGACTCATGCCATGTTTTATTACAAAGCCATTAATCACAACATTTATTTTTGATAGATGACTTCAAATATAGATCTGGAACAACAGGAACTTATTGATCAATAGGAATCATAAAAATCAAGTCTTAAAACTACACAGCACTGTCATAATCAAACACACTTGATTCCTAATATCCATTATTTATGGAGGCAACGTTCTTACAATTATTTGATTTAGAGTTATGGGAATACCCTTAATTCTACAAGATCAAATAAATGCTCCAAAAATAGGTAAGATCTGGTTTTTCCCATTTTTTTTTTTTTTTTTTTTTTTTTGAGACAAATAAAACATGTTATTAATGAAATACCGTTATATTGCTGACTTCGAGTTGTTGATTATTATTGTTTTCCTCATTGTGTTTGTTGTCAGTTAAAGTTGTCAATGTCATAATTATGTTGTTGCTGCTATTGTTTAATATCTGTGCTGTGTTGTTCTTCTTGTTTGTCATACATTGTAGTATTCCTCCGCCTCACTTTATTAAACGAGAGACGAAGCTGTTGCTCAAATACGATGCAGCAGCCAGTATTAAAGTTCACTTGTATTTTATTGTTTTTATAGAATTATCTGCTCATTTTTCGCAATAAATATTTTAATCACTTCGATTCTTAGTTTGAAGCGTACCTGTTTATTATCGATATACAATAATTTTCCATATAGGTACAAAAACAAAAAACACCTTCACCCCTTTTTCATGTTGTGATCAATGTCAGCATTGAAATATTAAAAGAGAATAATGATGATTAGGAAGCAAAAGCAAGCTGCTAAAAGACACTTGCAATCTAGTAAGTGTCTTTGCAATTTTTTGATGACCGACTGGCTGATGGCTAACAAAATCCTCGCCTGCCACCACAGCTGTTGGTACTGCTAGTTTAGATGTTGTTGTTGCTTTTTTTACAACTGTATGATGAGGAGCTAGATAAATATGTAGATGATGGTCTGATATATTTATTTAACACTCGGTTTGAGATTATTCTGTGTGTCTCTTCTCTTCTTGACTTGTTACAATTTTCACTTTTTCTTTTTTCTTTTGTAGTAAAACACATTTATTTACACACATTTTTAATCACATTATTCATATTTTTCAATTTAATTTTATTTGTGCACGTAATTTTCCTTTTATTTCTTGATTTTCCGTAAATTTATTGGTAATTTCTTTCGATTTTTGTGAAAATATTTGTAATCGTCTTTGAGTTACTGCTGTGTTATTTAGAGACAAAAATGATGGTTGACAATGGAAATTCAATGAACTCAACAACGTCACTATCATCAACGGCGAATGCAGAAGCAGCACTGGAAGAATTTAAATTTGCTGCTTTATTTTGATTTTGATGTACAAAAAATTTGGCAGAAGACGACGCCGCCATTTTCTCGAACGACGTAACAAAAGAGAATTGCTGATAATAATTGTAATAGATTAAAGAGTTTCTCTAAAATACAACTCTTTTTACTGGAAGTTATTTCAAGGCTGCCAGATTGTTTTCTATGTATAAAGTACTGCTAATTGAGTGTTATTTTGAAGGTAAACAAGTTTTTGTTTAAAAATTTGCATAATTTTTGCTAGAATTTTGCAAATTTGTATTTTGAAGAAAAAAAAACAAGTGACACAAAAATGTCCAAGTAGAGTTTTCTATTATTTTGTCCCTTTTAATGTTTAAAAATATATTTTATTTCATTCCTTTCAATTTATTTATAATTATTGTCAACACTGTTGCAGCAAATTCATTTTTTGTTTGACTTGTCTCATTTTTACATTTTTCTTTTTTATACGTTTATCATAAATTTTGTTACCTCCCTTCATGCAATAAAAAAGCAAATTATATAGCGCCACCTAGTTGTGTAAACAATTTCATGTGTATACAGAAGACTGCCAGATTTAAAAATCACAAATTACACATTTTACGTTGTAAATTCGACAAAATCCCATCACATAATGTTAAAGTATATTATTAATGGCGAGTGTTCATTTCAAAATAATCTAAGAAGAATTTTGCGGCCACAAAAGTAGACGAGTTTCGTACAAGATCTAATAGCTTTAATTCGAAAAAGGCAGGATGTTATGCTTAATCTTACCTACTCAACTCCTAATATACTTATGCGAAATAAATTACTAAACCCCTAAACATCTATTGTCGTAAAACCGCCAGATAACCCGTGTCTGAACAAAATAATTTTAAAGATATTTTAAGTACAATTGCGATATTGAAGAAATTGCTGAATTGAACATTCAATAGATGTCTTAACACGAACGAACCATACACACCCAAATTCATAGAATATTTTATAATATTAGAAGATAGAATGTGTTCTTCGATAGAGAAAGAGAAGGAAGAAAGAGGACAAAAAGTCATTTAATGAAAGAAGTACTATTATATTCCCTTTTAATGGATCTCATTCATCGCCGTGAGTTTAAGATATTTTTCCTCCCTACTGAGGCAACAAAAATTTAATAACTAATATGCTTACTGTCAAAAATGTCATATGATATGTAAACAAATAAACATATAAGCAATAACAACTTTTGACGAAATGTATACTATAGGTTTCATTAATAAATTAAAAAATGTTGGACTTATTTATTTAATCCAAATAGTTATTCTGAGTAGATTAGTAGAATGAATTTAATAACTGTCATATTTCCCCGTTTTTCTAATTTTGTAATTTTCCATTATTGCAACTATCTGGCAACACATTTTTTGACACTTGCTTTAACCGCTCATTCTTACACTTCATCCAAGAAAATGTAGAAGGCCAAATTACAAACAAAAACAACAACGGCGAAAACGAAGAGGACGACGAACAAAATTAGGTACAGAAACGTAACAAAATAACTAGACAAAAAGCTATAAACGAACAAACAAATTGGAATGACAAAAAGTAGAAAATTAAAAAAAGTGGATGGAAGAAAGGTAATACAAAGTGGGGGAATTAAGGAAAACGAGACTGGTTGAACGGGCAGACGTAGATGATGATAATAAAGCTTCACATACATTGCTGATGATTCGGCTGAAACAGACACAGAACAAATACAATTGATTTTGCGGACAGCGAGCGAATGAAGCCGAAAAAAACATGATGGAAAAAAATGAAAAAACGACCGACCGACGGCAAAAAGAAACCAAACGATGGTCTCGTAAGAGCCGCATTTCAATTGACTCGATGAGCACCACCACACATTTTTTCCTAACTTTTTCTTCATCAGACTTCCTGCCATATCAATCAAACATCCATTCGTCCATTCATTAATGTAATTTTAGCAATCATACCATTCCCACTTAATTACAAAAACTTTAATACTTTTTCATAATAAATTTTCCATATGCATTCATTTTATTCACCTTGTATGTGTATTTTTTGTATTCCTTTCTTTTTTTGTTGAGAATTTCGTTTTATATATTTTTTTATTATTGAAATATCGGAATTGAAATAATCACCGCTGTTGCTTGAAACCTTAATGAGACGACTTCAAAGCGGGATAATGAAGAATTTAATGAATAAATTTCACTTTACACACTCGTTCACTCACTTTGTGGCACTGTATAAACTTTTTTCTTTTCTTTTTTTATTTTATTATTTCTTCTTCATACACACAAAATATTAATACTTCTCTCATCCGTATAATTTTTTTTTTCTTTTTTTCACGTATTTCGCAAACACACCGTCGTCCGTGGAGGTGTAATTTTCAATTCAATTTTTCACACTTTTCATCATTATTTTGCGTAAAAATTTTATTAGATATTGAAAATATAATGCTTTTAGAATATTTTTCATATAATTTTATTTAGATATTTCGTAAATTTACGTGTTTTTTATTAAAAAAGATTGCCTACGATTTCTATGCGACCCGCACTTTTTCATTGCAATCACACAAACCATAAACTAACACACAAACAACGAAATTTTACACTTCAGAGTTGGTGGTTTTATCTAACGACGTTAAAATTGTAATAGATTAATGATTTTAGGAAATTTTAAAATTTGTCATAGTTGTATAACGTACGGCGTTGGCAAAAAAATAATATTAGAAAAAGAAGTTTTAACTTTTTAATTGGGAGCCTTTTAAACATTTAAAAACTAAAAGCTTTTAATTGATTTAGCTAATAAGAAAAATATTAAGCATACAAAAATCACACTTTTGAAATTTTAATGAAATTATTCATAAAAAAATACATACGTATTTTTGATCATTTTTATTTAGTCGTTACATTGAAAATTAACAACTATTATTTAATATTATTTGCATTTTATTTAGCATTAACTGTTATAAAACCTTTTTCTTTTTTTCTTTCGTGTAAAGTATAAAGTGAAAATAACTGGCAAAAGAATAAACTAGTATTTAGGATTAGTATACAAGGTAGGTAACAAATAGGATAACTATAAGAGGTACTTACGTAGGAATTTATATTATATTTTATTATAACCGTCAAAACGAAACGGTGATTAATTTTACTAGGAAATTTGTTTAGAACACAATCCGAATACTTTGTTTTTGTACAATTTAATTTCTGAAAGGTAGTCGCGGTTTTTAGTCGTGGATAAATGAGCACTTTTTATGTCATTACACAGCTGCATCTTGGGAGAAACCCACAATAAGAAATAATTTTATTTTCCTTTGCAAAAAAAAAAAACTAACTATGTAAACATTGCTAAAAGTAAAATATTGTATTTATAGTGATTTATGTATAAAAGGAATTATTATTCATTATTAAAATTCATGGACGTAATTCTTTAAAATTTTGCAATTAATGTTCCTGAGCGGATGTAGTATCTGGAATAACATCGCTCCCAATATATTTAGTTTTAATTTAGACAAAATCTTTGAAATATGTATGTATGTATGTAATCCACCGTCCTCTCCATATGCTTTACATTTATTTCAAATCGTTCATTCTCCTCGTCCTTCTCTTCTTGGGACGACCACATAAGATTTTAGTGGCCCAATCCACCGTTTCATTATTATAAGCGGCCATATGGACACTTCTTAATTAATTCAGTCCTCGTTTCCTGTACCGGTGTTGTATTCGTCAGGTTAATTTCCTCACGCTTCCTATATGAAGTACATTTGCTCTTTCGTTGCCGATGTTCCACGAGTGGCCTGGTAACCATGTACAGCTTACTCTTAGAATATACATTAGGGTGGTTTTTTCTCATATGGTAAACAAATTTTCTGAATTTTTTTTGGTTCACCCCCTAAAATGTTTCTTTCTGTCAGATTTTAGGATTGCCAAAGTTTAAGTACAATTGGACAATGTTAACCCGTGCCACTGGGTCTCAAAGTTTTGCAAATCTAGATTTTTTGGCAGTTTGGCGACTTCGGCGACCCATATCTCTGGAACTGCAAAAGCAATTTGCCCATGGTATATATTCAATTAATGGCAACTAGTACTAAAACCGAAAAAAAGAGCTAATGTCCCTAAAAACATGACTAGGTACCCCTGAGAGCGAAGATGCGTTATTTGTATTATTATCGCTTATTATAGGCAAATACTTTTACTTTGGAATCTCACTTCATTTAAATATGTTTACTATGGTATACCGTTAATTTTAGACCACAACAATGTTTTTATGTCTATTTTTTCCTCATACTGTATCACTGGCGACCTCAAGCAGGTAAAACCAAACTACAGTGGGACCTCGATTTTCCGTGGTCTGGTATACCGTTAATTTTAGACCACAACAATGTTTTTTATGTCAAGTTTTTCCTCATACTGTATCCCTGGCGACCTCAAACAGGTAAAACCAAACTACAGTGGGACCTCGATTTTCCGTACCTGGTATACCGTTAATTTTAGACCACAACAATGTTTTTTATGTATATTTTTTCCTCATACTGCATCACTGGCGACCTCAAACAGGTAAAACCAAACTACAGTGGGACCTCGATTTTCCGTGACCTGGTATACCGTTAATTTTAGACCACAACAATGTTTTTTATGTATATTTTTTCCTCATACTGTATCACTGGCGACCTCAAGCAGGTAAAACCAAACTACAGTGGGACCTCGATTTTCCGTAATGGTCGGGACCGGAAGCATTCTGTATAATCAATTTTCCCAGTTAATTGAGTACCAATTTTGGTAAGTTTTTTGATATTTTTATTTATTTTTAAGGAACATATTTATATAAAAACTAAATAATTGAAGGATTTTATGTTTCAAAAATATAATAATTTTGTCAGAAAACATTGACCAGTAGATAAGGATTTTGCTTGGTTGTTAACAAATAGGAGAATTTTGCTTATATTTACGGATAATAGATGTAATCACGATTAACCGATGCAGAAAAATTTAGGTCAATGCAAAATAAATCGATAATCGATGTTGCCGTATAATCGAATGACGGATAATCAAGGTCCTACTATAGTTTAAAAATGTATTAGACAGACTTAAGATACCTCAGAACGAGGCTGTTTGCATGCAATGGGATGGAAAACTACTACCAGATATCTGGTATTACATGGGACTAAAGAACAACTCCTGGGCGTTCCTGAAACCGATAGTAGCATAGGGAAACTCAATGAAGCGTACAATCTCCAAAGAAGAAGTAGAGAATATCACCAGTTTAAGCTGGGAGAAACCCACAAGAGGTCCTAGAAGTACTTTTTGTTTTCATCGTCCTCAAGTCCCCAGTGGCACGTGTTAACATCTTTCAATCGTACTCCTACTTTGGCAATCTTAAAATCTAACAAAATGAAACATTTTAGGTGGGTGCCCAATAAAGAAATCCGACATCGATTTTTTAAAACCAGCCTAATATACATTCATGCATATGTTAAACTCTGTTGGCGCCATATTCAATCCAATTCATTTACAGATACATACATAACTTGATGTTACTGTTGTGATTAGAATACCAGATCTAGTTTGCTTTCTAATTAAGAGTCATTCCTGTAACAACAGATTCCCGACTGGTCACGATCTTCTATCGGCTATCGATGTATCAATTTCTGGACAATTTCTGTTTCCGGTATGTGATAGAGCACTTTTGATTCTAGTATATAACCGTCTAATATGTGTAGTATATTGGTAAATTCGCCTAAATATATAGGCGTTCGTCTATGTTACGTTGGGAGGAATGTCTCTGACTATTGACAATTATGGATTTACTGCACGAATTTATCGTGATGAAGACGCGTCTTTTCAAGAAATCCATAAGATATGACGTTGGGAGGAGTTGCAACAGTACCGTAAAACATAATTTCTTGTGACATAGTACGTATTAGGGATGCCGAATGGGGATTTTCGGGAATCGAGATTTTTAAATCGAATTACATATATTACTAATTGATATACATACATCAAGTCTAGTCCAGGCATGGCGGGGGTCTGTAATCGATATGGCGAGACATTGTTAATAACGATAATTATATTGCTTATACCTTGGAAAAGCTATACTGGATGTATGTAGATCAGTTCTGTAGTATTCTCCTACCCGACATTAAAAATCATATATTTGTTATAGTTCAGCTTAAGACCGTTGGTCACATGAGTACACTTGCTCAAATGCTAAATTGCTGTAGCCTCGTTTGGATCATCATAAAACGCTGGCGTGTTATAACGTACAGTGACATAATGTGACACACCAAAAAGTGTCATAGCGTCCATGGACGTTATGACAATTCTTAAAAGTGTCATAATGTCCATGAACATTGTGACACTTTAAAAACAGAAATATATTGGAAAATTTGTTTAGAATTTAGGAAAGGGACACTTTTATCCGGTAAAGAATTGCTCATAAATTTGAAGTATGTTGCGTTTTGGATTCCTTTAAAAAAGTGTCCTGGATAGCCGGACTTCGGCCGGACGCTGGAGTATTTCGAATACCGACTTCGCTAAATAAGGCTTTTTTTGAAAAATGGACTCATTTAAATCTATGGACTTTATGTTATTATGCCCATAGACATTGTGACACTTTTGAAATTGTTATAATGTACATGGACACTATGACTCAATTTAGTGTGTCATAACGTCCATGGATATTATGTCACTGGACATTATGACATGTCCATCTGTATGTACAGTTCGCAATTTTCAAGATAATTTGATGCATATCAAAATTGTTACAATTGGTCAATTATTTCATACAACTGAAAGCCTTATTCGAAAGCTTTTGAGCTCATAATTATATTAAATATTTTATATCGACAAAAAGCTGCACAATTAAGTTTTACGCAAGCCTTAATGATTTTGCTGAATTTGATCCTAGCCCTCATACAAAGCTCACTCCAGAAAATGAAGTGAATGTTACACAATTCACTAATTATTAAGCGATTAAATTCAGCACATGGTCCGATGTCCACCATACATTACAGTTTAAATACTGGGTGCATAAAAATAAAATATTTAATTCACGTTTAATAGCAATTTATACAGAAAAACATATTTACGACTGTTTTAAGTGAACTTTTATAATAAGAACAAGTAAGAGTGTTATATTCGGCCATGACGAATCTTATATACCCACCATCAAATCATTCTTATTAATAAACTTTATCGAAGCAATTTCCTCATTTATTAGATCTATGTTGAATTTTATCATCATATGACAACATTAATATGAATATCAGGCTAATTTTTGGAAGAGTGCCTTTAATAAGGACTTAAGTATGGACCGTGCTCTTCCGAATTAAAATATTAATTTTTTTGGTCCAATTTTTATAACCATAAACTGTTTTTTGTAAGAGTGGTTATATGGAGGGTAGAGTCAATTATGGACTTAATTTCATCGGTTTATACAATAATTATTTGTAACGAATTTCATCTCTGTACTCGTATATTTAATTCAGTCATGAGGCTGACCGACCGATCCTCACGAAATTCAGTTGAAACATTTTAGTTCCTATAAAACTACCGTAATTTGGAGCCATAGATAAGCGTTAAAGTAATTTTCTGGAGTAAATCTTATATAAGGATCAATTACTTATATAAGATCTTCCTTCATAAACATAAACTATGTAATTTTCAGTAACATATTCTCCTCTTTTCAGTAACATATTATCCTCTTCAGATATAATTGACCCTATATCTGAAGAGGACATTTTTGCTCATACAAAACTTGTTTATGAGAAATTTCATCGCTGTAGTCATATTTGAGCGTTATATCAAGTAATGAGCTTTACAGTCATTTTCTGAAGGCGACCTTATATGGAGGGTAGGGTCAATTATAGACCGATCGCCATAAAATTTGATAAAGAGTTTTTGGCTAGCACAAGATTTGTTTATGTAGAATATCACTGCGTTAAAGTAATTTTATAAGGGGAACTTATAGGGGGGTAGGGTCAATTATAGACTGATCCTCATAAAATTTAGTAGAGAGGTTTTGGCTCATACGAAACTTGTTTATGACGAATTTCATCGCTGTACTCGCAGTTTTAAGCTAGTAATGAGCGTTAAAGTAATTTTCTGAAGGGGACCTTATATGGGGGATAGGGTCAATTATGGGCCTATCCTTATAAAATTTTACAAAGAGATTTAGGTTCCCATAAAACATGTTTGTGCCGAATTTCACCGCTATAGATGCTTCTTTTAGCCAATTATTAGCAATAAAGTAATTTTTTGAAGGGGTCCTTATATGCGGGGTAGGGTCAATTATGGACCCATCCTCATAAAATTAAAAAAAAGGATTTTAGTTAATATAAACCTTTTTTATGTCGAATTTTATTGCTATATATGCTTCTTGACCCTATCCCCCCTTATATGGGGGATAGGGTCAATTATGGGCCTATCCTTATACAACTTTACAAAGAGATTTAGTTTCTCAAAAACATGTTTGTGCCGAATTTCACCGCTGTAGATGCTTCTTTTAGCCAGTTATTAGCGATAAAGTCATTTTCTGAAGGGGCCTTTTATGGGGGCTAGGCGAAATCGTACATCGATTTTGCCCATTTTCAATACCAAACAAACTGCATCAACTAAAAGTAATCATGCAAAATTTCTCGCTATCTATTCCATTTGGACTCTATCGTGTTTTCAACAGACAGACGGACGGACATGGCTAGATCGTCATAGAATTTAATAAAGACCCAGAATATATATACTTTTATGGGTCTTAGACGTATATTTCAATGTGTTACAAACGGAATGACAAAAACAATATACCCCTCATCTTTTTTGATGGTGGGTATAAAAACTATAAACAAAATAAATTTTACAAATTCTGTATGAACATTTGTTTTAAAATAAAAATTTTTGATAAATTATATATTGTAAATACGTTATTAAGAATTTTACTTGATTATTTAAAAATATTTTTATTCTGGCAATGCTGTATTATTGCTGTAGCATCGACAACAAAAAATACGCATTTATCGACACCTGCCTTGCCGTAACTAATTTATCTACAAACACTGCCTTATCATGAAGACTCAAAGTAATTTTGAAGATAATAGTGTTATTTTAAACATTGCCTCTATTGCCCACTAGATGGCGTCGAACGGAAATGGAAAAACTAGTTTTTACTATAAAATTAATTAAAAACACTATTTTTGTAAGTTTTTTTGTTATTTTTTTTATGAAAATACACTAAATCACATAAAATATTTTTAATTTTAATTAAAATTAACGATTACAATATAAAAAATATAATATCATTAACAATTTTCAGTTTAAATTATGTTTAATTTAAAACAATATACATATAGATAATAAAATAATAATTAATAACATTATAACAAATAATTAATTAATTAAACAATAACAACAAAATGTTTAGTTTATAATAAAATGTCACTGATGAAGCAGTTACAGCCAGTCAGCTTTTTAAGAGGCTGGCATATGCGAAAACAAATAAATGATTATGATTATTTTTTTTTATATTCTTTAATTTATTTTAAAGGTGCCTCCACCACGGCAGCCGGTTTTCGACTTTGCACCACATAATAAATTAAACAAATAGCAGCCACACCAATGCCACCGAACAAAGCAGCCCACTGCACAACATTCAACGTTTTCAAAGTGTTGATGAGACGTTTCTTGAAAAATGTCACCATTTCTCCATTCAATTCGATACCCTGCTCGTTGCGGGAAGAGAAATGACAACAAAAAAAGAAAACAAGACAATAAATTTAATAATTTTATAGAAAATTTGTTAAATATGTATATTTCAGCTGTAATATTGTTTCGCCAACTAAAGAAAATAAAACAACCCACTCACTACTCACCTCTTCCACCCAAATGGCGGGCATTAGAACTGTTGTTAGATTTTCCGTAATCGTTATACGATTAATACTCTTCAGAAACATATTAAACTGAACACGTTTGCCACCCTGAAGTGGCACGCCAGTAAGCTGCAACAAAATAAACAGAAAAAAAAGAAATTGTTATTTAATTAATGTCATTAATTAATTCCAAATTTCAAAATTAATTGATATTAATGCGAACAAGTGTTTGTGGAGGATTTGTCATAAGTATGTGTGGTCTGTTCTACCTACATGTTGTACATCTACAAATGTCTGGTGTTTTTGGGCATCCGGATTTAGTCCTCTTATAGTTTTCGTATATTCATTAGAGGCTCCTAACATGTGGGGCAAAGTCAAAATTACCGGGGCATCTGGAAAAAAGAATTATAATTATTTGTTTAGTTCATTAAACTGTTTTTAAATGAAATTTAATTGCTTGAATATTAATTGTAATTTTTCGAAAATATTTATTTGCAAAAAATATGTAAATATTTAAAAACGAATTGCTTTGAACTCTAAAATATTTATTGCGGTTCATTTAAATTTATTACTCAATCTGCAGGAAATTGAATGTTCTGAATAATGGTTGTAAAACTAACTAACTAACTAACTAACTAACTAACTAACTAACTAACTAACTAACTAACTAACTAACTAACTAACTAACTAACTACTAACTAACTAACTAACTAACTAACTAACTAACTAACTACTAACTAACTAACTAACTAACTAACTAACCTAACTAACTAACTAACTAACTAACTAACTAACTAACTAACTAACTAACTAACTAACTAATACTACTAACTAACTAACTAACTAACTAACTAACTAACTAACTAACTAACTAACTAACTAACTAACTAACTACTAACTAACTAACTAACTAACTAACTAACTACTAACTAACTACTAACTAACTAACTAACTAACTATTCTAACTAACTAACTAACTAACTAACTAACTAACTAACTAACTAACTACTAACTAACTAACTAACTAACTAACTAACTAACTAACTAACTAACTAACTAACTACTAACTACTAACTAACTAACTAACTAACTAACTAACTAACTAACTAACTACTACTAACTAACTAACTAACTAACTAACTAACTAACTAACTAACTAACTAACTACTAACTAACTAACTAACTAACTAACTAACTACTAACTAACTAACTAACTAACTACTAACTAACTAACTACTACTAACTACTAACTAACTAACTAACTAACTAACTAACTAACTAACTAACTAACTAACTACTACTAACTAACTACTAACTAACTACTAACTAACTAACTAACTACTACACTAACTAACTAACTAACTACTACTAACTAACTAACTAACTAACTACTAACTACTAACTAACTACTAACTAACTAACTACTAACTAACTAACTACTAACTAACTAACTAACTAACTAACTAACTAACTACTAACTAACTAACTAACTACTAACTAACTAACAACTAACTAACTAACTAACTAACTACTACTAACTAACTAACTAACTAACTAACTAACTAACTAACTAACTAACTAACTAACTAACTAACTAACTAACTAACTAACTAACCTAACTACTACTAACTAACTACTAACTAACTAACTAACTACTACTAACTACTAACTAACTAACTAACTAACTAACTAAGCTAACTAACTAACTAACTAACTAACTAACTAACTAACTAACTAACTAACTAACTAACTACTAACTAACTAACTAACTAACTAACGACTAACTAACTAACTAACTAACTAACTAACTAACTAACTACTAACTAACTAACTAACTAACTAACTAACTAACTAACTAACTAACTACTAACTAACTAACTAACTAACTAACTAACTAACTAACTAACTAACTAACTAACTAACTAACTAACTAACTAACTAACTAACTAACTAACTAACTAACTAAACTAACTAACTAACTAACTAACTAACTAACTAACTAACTAACTAACTAACTAACTAACTAACTACTAACTAACTAACGACTAACTAACTAACTAACTAACTAACTAACTAACTAACTAACTAACTAACGAACTAACTAACTAACTAACTAACTAACTAACTAACTAACTAACTAACTAACTAACTAACAACTAACTAACTAACTACTAACTAACTAACTAACTAACTACTAACTAACTAACTAACTAACTAACTAACTAACTACTAACTAACTAACTAACTAACTACTACTAACTAACTAACTACTAACTAACTACTAACTAACTAACTAACTAACTAACTAACTAACTAACTAACTAACTAACTAACTAACTACCTAACTAACTAACTAACTAACTAACTAACTAACTAACTAACTAATACTAACTAACTACACTAACTACTAACTAACTAACTAACTAACTAACTAACTAACTAACTAACTAACTAACTAACTAACTACTAACTAACTAACTAACTAACTAACACTAACTAACTAACTAACTAACTAACTAACTAACTAACTAACTAACTAACTAACTAACTAACTAACTAACTAACTAACTAACTAACTAACTAACTAACTAACTAACTAACTAACTAACTAAACTAACTAACTAACTAACTAACTAACTAACTAACTACACTAACTAACTAACTAACTAACTACTAACTAACTACTAACTAACTACTAACTAACTAACTACTAACTAACTAACTAACTAACTAACTAACCTAACTAACTAACTACTAACTAACTAACTAACTACTAACTAACTAACTAACTAACTAACTAACAACTACTAACTACCTAACTAACTACTAACTAACTACTAACTAACTACTAACCTAACTAACTAACTAACTAACTACTAACTAACTAACCTACTAACTACTAACTAACTAACTAACTAACTAACTACTAACTAACTAACTAACTAACTACTAACTAACTAACTAACTAACTAACTAACTAACTAACTAACTAACTAACTACTACTAACTACTAACTAACTAACTAACTAACTAACTAACTAACTAACTACTAACTAACTAACTACTACTAACTAACTAACTACTAACTAATACTAACTAACTAACTAATACTAACTACTAACTAAACTAACTAACTAACTAACTAACTAACTAACTAACTAACTAACTAACTACTAACTAACTAACTAACTAACTAACTAACTAACTAACTAACTAACTAACTACTACTAACTAACTAACTACGAACTAACTACTAACTAACTACTAACTAACTAACGACTAACTAACTAACTAACTAACTAACTAACTAACTAACTAACTACTACTAACTAACTACCTACTAACTAACTTAACTAACTAACTAACTAACTAACTAACTAACTAACTAACTAACTACCTAACTAACTAACTACTAACTAACTACACTAACTAACTAACTACTAACTAACTACTAACTAACTAACTAACTAACTAACTAACTAAACTAACTAACTACTAACTAACTAACTAACTAACTACTAACTAACTACTAACTACTAACTACCTAACCTACTAACCTAACTAACTAACTAACTAACTAACTAACTAACTAACTAACTACTAACTAACTAACTAACTAACTAACTAACTAACTAACTACTAACTACTAACTAACTAACTAACTACTAACTAACTAACTACTAACTAACTAACTAACTAACTAACTAACTAACTAACTAACTAACTAACTAACTAACTAACTAACTACTAACTAACTAACTAACTACTAACTAACTAACTACTAACTAACTACTAACTAACTAACTACTAACTAACTAACTAACTAACTACTAACTAACTAACTAACTAACTAACTAACTAACTAACTAACTAACTAACTAATTAACTAACTAACTAACTAACAACTAACTAACTACTAACTAACTAACTAACTAACTAACTACTAACTAACTAACTAACTACCTAACTAACTAACTAACTAACTAACTAACTAACTACTAACTAACAACTAACTAACTAACTAACTAACTAACTAACTAACTAACTAACTAACTAACTAACTAACTAACTAACTAACCTAACTAACTAACTAACTCAACTAACTAACTACTAACTAACTAACTAACTAACTAACTAACTAACATAACTAACTAACTAACTAACTAACTAACTAACCTAACTTAACTAACTAACTAACTACTAACTAACTAACAACTAACTAACTACTAACTACTAACTAACTAACTATTACTAACTAACTAACTAATCTAACTAACTAACTAACTACTAACTAACTAACTAACTAACTAACTAACTAACTAACTACTAACTAACTAACTACTAACTAACTAACTAACTACTACTAACTACTAACTAACTAACTAACTACTAACTAACTAACTACTAACTACTAACTACTAACTAACTACTAACTAACTAACTAACTACAACTAACTAACTCCTAACTAACTAACTAACTAACTAACTACTAACTAACCTACTAACTAACTAACTAACTAACTAACTACTACTAACTAACTAACTACTACTAACTAACTAACTAACTACTACACTAACTAATAACTAACTAACTAATTACTACTACTAACTAACTAACTAACTACTAACTAACTACTAACTACTAAACTAACTACTAACTAACTAACTAACTAACTAACTAACTAACTAACTAACTACTAACTAACTACTAACTAACTAACTAATAACTAACTAACGAACTAACTAACTAACTACTAACTAACTAACTACTAACTAACTAACCTAACTAACTAACTAACTAACGAACTAACTACAACTATTAACTACTACCTACTAACTAACTAACTAACTAACTAACTTACTTACTTACTACTAACTGACCAAATTTGTTGTATACCATTAGTTAGTATACCATTATGTGGTCTTACTGATAAAAGCTATTTTGGTCTATGTTATGATCTAATTCCATGAGATTTATTAGATAGATTGTGGTTAACTTGTGAAACATGTTTATAACGTACTTTTAGAGGACAGAGGACTTTGTAAACATAATTATTTAAATTTTGACCTCAGGGCTTCCGTCCTTGAATCGCTTATATGATTTTAAATTACAATGGTCTATCTTTGTATGATCTGATAAGGACTTAACTATACCCGCACTGGAGTAAAACAATATGGCAAAAAAACTGGTAAGTCCTTTTTTGTAATTTCAAAAACCCCAAAAAAAAAAACCATTCATAACTAAATTATGATTAACACTTTAGCGCAAACAATAAAGCAATTTAAATCTTTAAATCTGTCTTTAATGCAAAATGTTTTGGTTATTTATCATCAATTTGATTGCTAAATATTACTAATTAATAGTAATATACTATAATTAATTTCTAATATA